GGGAGGGAGGGAGGGAGGGAGGGAGGGAGGGAGGGAGGGAGGGAGGGAGGGAGGGAGGGAGGAGAGAGAGAGAGAGGTGGGTGGGGGGGGGGGAAGAGATCAAAGGCAGTTCAGATGGCTGTGAACATGAAGTAATACTTGGGGGGGGGGGGGGGGAGAAGCTTCAAGATGGAAATAGTTCTGAACTGTTAGAGGGAGTCCGTGGCCCAAAGCCACTGGCTTCGGCGAAGATGGTAGTGAATATTCGTTTTGAAGTATACTGTATTGCAGGCCCTTAGGAGATGGTGGTTTGGTGAAGAGGGAGGGAAGATGGCAGCGTGTTCCAGGTGTTGATGATGTTGTGTGGAAATGCGCGTCTTAGGTACTGAAGTAGTTAGGAGCACCTGGAGGGAGAACATTTTCCAGTTGGTAGGGGTGTGAAGCAGACTGTTGGCATTGTCTCCGGGTTACAGGTGCGCTTGATGGACACGGAGAGGGGACCATGGATCTCAGCATAGGAGGACCTGGTTGGCCCAGTAGCTTGTAGACGAAAGTCAGTGCCGCCACTTTCCATCGAGCCTCGAGGCTCTGTAGCAAGATGTTGGGTCCCAGGATGTGGGGACCCGCCTCTGCACTCCGTTAATGTGTTCAACGGGTTGGTGGGAGCAGCTCCAATCCAGACAAGGGGAGAGTATTCGAGCAGGGGCCGGACGAAATGGTTATGGGTGATACATGCATACATACATTACTGTATAAGGAGGAAAACTTCCTTCTGCCAGCGGAGAGGGCTCGACACAATAATGTGGAGCACTATTACACACAAAAAGGCACAACGGAGGTTTACAACGGTTGTCGCAACTCTGAGTTTCTTGCTCAATGCAATCATCAGTCGCCCATTGTGCCTTTTGTGTACATTACTGTATACATAGTCATACATACATGTACATGTACATACATGTACATACATGTACATACTAAGTTGTGACTGATCAAACCATCTGTTGTTCTGACTAGTGTGTCACGGCTCTACCTTCCCGGTATCGAGCTCTCTTGGATTTCTGCTGGAATTCACAACAGTGTACATACATACATACATACATACATACATTCACTGTACATACATTCATTGTATTGTACAAATGAGAGTCCTCCGGCTCGGTAGAGTGCTCAATATTCGTTCCGAACGGTTCGAACAGAGCTAACTTACAAACGGCACGGAGCATAAAGCATCGTTCGTTGTAACTAATACTAGTCTCATGCCCATACTGCCATAGGCAATCATCAGACAACTGATACTGGATGAACAGCCAAGATCCGATTATATGCAGTAGTGTTGCAGAGGCAGCGATGTGTGTAAGCAAGCGTGAGGAATTTCATACATGGACTCAGTTACACCGTTGTACTTGCCAAGCAGGAACTTTGCAGCATGGCGACACTTGGACACAATCTCCGTGCGTTTGTTGAGCGAGATTCTGCGGTCTGATGCTAGGATGTGGTACTTCTCGGCTATGCAGAGGTTGCAGCGCCTTGCGACGTTGGAGTAGGCATTAGCACGCGCCTTGACAGCCCAGGAAATCTCGTATGGTCTATCCTGGCGCTTTTAAAAGGCTCCACACATTAGCCAGCTGAGTGCTGCTATCATAGCGCTCATGTCTTAGCGTGGTCATGTGGTTGGAGTGTCTGCTCTTGAACTCTGGCGCCGACATCCCAGAGTGTATGTTCTCAGGGTGCTGCCCGACTTGATGCTTGCCACATGCTTGCCACATACACCATATTGGTGGTCCTGCATGCACCATTCAGTGTACATTGTATACCACCTTGGACCTTAGACCAGTGGGCATAGCGCTGCAACACGGCAATTGCATGGTAAACCAACACGTTTCGGTTGTAGTACTTTCTTGTTGTGTGCTTTTATCCTGGTTTCCATACTCGGCATGCAGCTATAGCTCACCTTCACGGTATTGCGGTTGAAGACTTTCTCAATCTGGATCCATTGGGGAAATGCAACGATATCAGCGCGAGAAACTGTCTGGCGATGTTTATTCTGACGTTCGCACTGTATGGAGGGTTGTTGAACCATAATTTAGTTTTCACCCCTTCCTTCTACGCGGCTGCGTGTCGCCACCGCTGTAGGTTAGAGGTGTGGTGTGTCCGCCGGCGGCAAGCGTGAAGACTTCAGTGACCTGCTTCCTTTTTCTGTCTGCCATAGGCCCACTAGCGGCCTTCAGTACTGCCAGACCGTCGTCCCGATACAGGCCCACAGACTGTCTGCTGAGGTGCGCAGTGAGCTTCTCGAGAATGTATACCGACTTGCTCACAAGCCTCCGCACCGTCATATGCACCCATGGTGACGTCGAACATGTCTCCCCTTCCCTGCTTCGACCACACCTGGCCATCTGAGAATAGCAGCGACTTCCCGGCATGCATAACGGTGTCTATATCGTCCTGGCTCACTTGCGCGTCGTGCGTCTGGGCGAAGTTCAAGGCATCGAGGAGGAGCTCCTTCGTGATGGATGGATAGAAGTTTACTATATCAAACACCAAGAAGGAGTGTCGTTCCTTCTCCTCGATGCCCTTGAACCAGTCTGTCACATCCGCAGTACTTCTCCATTGCCTTGCCCCTGTTGTACTGCGGAGTTTATCTGGCACAGTCATGTCGCGGAGTATGATCCGGCTCACAGTGCCTAGCTGGCTCTTAGCAGGGTTGATGAGACGACATGGCAGGGCCTGCTGAAAGTTTTCCTTGCGGTCTTTGATCGTTATGAAAAATGTCGCAAGAACCGGTTAGCATTTTGCTGCATTCCTTGCAGTTATGCCTTGTGCAAGTTATGGCTCCTGCTATGATCATTGACCATCTCACTGCACTACCTGCACTAGTGGAGTACTGCAGCCATATGCACAGGGACGCAAAGTCAGCCATAGGCATAGTGCCAAGTTAGTGGCTCACTGGTGTGTCGTGGTGAAGGAATGCAAAGACCTGTATTTGTTTCCCGGGAATGGCTGATGCCCGCGTGTGATCATGCATGGTGCACCCGGTGGGGTGCACACGACAGAGCATGCTAGCACCAAGGTCAAGGATGAAGCATTGTCATTGTACATGCGCATGTATAACATGTAGACCCACAAATAATAATAATTATTACAATGCGCTGCTTTGCATGAAGTCACGTTTAGTGAAGTGCGATGTAATGACGTACGATGTACATGTATTTACATGTACCTTGGCAAGTGGTTCATGCCGATGATCTCTTACTCTTACTTCTAAAAAATTAATGAATCATAGTTTTACAAAGACTGCGATGATGTACTGTGGACAGTGGATCTACAATGTACATGATGTGTAACATGACATGTAACAATGTCAATGGTGGTAGTCTACAACTCAATCTCCGGCAACCAAACACGAAAGTACTTGTAGTACGAAAGTGTACTATGAAAGTGGTCCTTTACCAGCGATACATCTACGTCAGGACACATAATAAGAAATTATTTCCCAACTCAACTGGGTAGTCTGGGCTATTGTCCGTATTGAGTATTGTACTGGATAATACTTGAAATGCATTGAATTATTTGTCGCATGAATCTTGGATGCGGCCTTCTGACACAGAACGATATTAATTTTACATAGCCTGCGCTTGAATTCATCTTTGCGCACAACGAGGCGAACATCGGGAGGCAACTCATTCCACAGAATCGCACCTCGGAAGCGAATGGACGACCCAGTCTCGCAGGCCCGGGAAGGAAAGGGACGCGCAGAAGTCTCGTCATCTGTCCATACCACGGGTAGCTCTGCGTTCGTGGTCGACCAGATCGGGGGCAATACTGAATAGGTGTGTAGAATGGCGAAAATAGTGGACTGCCAGTGCGGTGTGAGCGTGAAGACAACGCGTTAGTAACTCACGGCACGGAAGACGAAGACATGGACTTTCTGACGTCAGAGCTACTGAATGGTGGATAACCGAAGTCTCTTCCGCATACATGTAGCAGGGGCTGGGTGGCGACGGGGTTTATCATGGTTATGCAAGACTGCGCGGATGACAGGATTATTAATTTTGTTGACTGTTGTTGGTTGGCAGCATGTAACAAGGTGGAGGACCACCGTGTTCGAAAACAGTCAGTGACCTTTCTACAACCATCTACGACTACGGTTGGTAGAGCCCCGGTCTTGCGACCACCTGAACCGTGTCGTGTGGGTGTTGGCCCAGCCAGGGAGTTTCTTGTTGTTGCACCGACGGTCCGTCACTCCGTCAGTCGTGTGCTAGACTAGTACATACATGTACAGTCAGTATAAGTTAGTTTGGAGTTGACAGGAGGGCATGCACATCGAAATCACGCCTTGTCAACGACCCGTTCTTGCTCAGTTTTAACGACCACACTCAGCAAAGAACAAAACAACAACGAAACACAACGACACACCAACGCTGATGTGGCATCGCAAATCCCGTACCGTGCACGCAGGCACTGGGTTGCAACAGAAAAAAGACGCGCTGCAAGCGTGCCAAGCAGCGAGTGAGTACAGAACGCGTACTAATGCCAGTCATGGCAACGGAAGATAAAATTATGGAGATCGACCCGATCGAGAGCAGAGTACGAAAAAAGCACACATTCAAAGTTCAAACTGTGCAACAGAAGCAGAAGAGGAAAACGAAAATGAACACTTGTCGTGAAGTGAAGTGCTTCTGTCCAAGGGTGCTTACACCCGACGGGGTGACAGCGCCCCTAGTCAGACAATACAAGGCAAACGAAATAGAAATTAGCTGAGTCACAGCGCGGGACTCCGAAACGAAAACCGGTGAGTATGTAAATATTAATTGTTTCGTACCTGCTGTACAACGTAACAATTCGTAACGTAATTTCAAACTAGCACTCGTAGAATTGTAGTGCGAATGTGCCACTCGATTATAGTAACAACAACAAAGAGATACTCTTCTAAACATTTCTCTCCCTTCTCACTGTGCCGAAATTCACAGTGACCAAAAAATTCGAAATTGATTATTGTTCTGAAATAGGCAAACAAGGAGCTACTCACAGAACAGCTTACAAAGACGCACGATTGGGCGGGTGTAGGTCTTGTCGCCCACCTTGACCTTCACAACTCGCACGTGTCCGTCTGGACCAGGGTGCACTTCGGTGACGCGACCCATTGGCCAAGTGCCCCGTGGGTTGTCTTGGGATGTCACTAGAACGATGTCGTCGACCTTGAGGTCTGTCTCGGCCGTCCTCCACTTGAGTCGCCGGTTCAGCTCTGGCACGACTTCCTGCATCCATCTCCGCCAAAAGTGCAACACGAGTTCTTGCACTACACGCCAGCGTTGCCGAGGGTTGAACTCGCTCTCGTCCACTCCTGCAGGTGCGAACCGAGTACCGATTTGGCCATACATGAAATGATTGGGCGTTAGCGGAGTCGGGTCACGGCCATCTGCCGACACGTAGGACAGTGGCCGTGAGTTCATGAGCGCCTCCGCGCCGACGATAGCAGACAATAGCTCCTCGTCTGTGACCTCCGCGTTCTTCAGAATCGCCGAGATAGCACGCTTTGCCGATTTTACTAACGCCTCATGCACTCCGCCGAAATGTGGTGCTGCTGGAGGGTTGAAACGCCAGCTAGTCTGCTGATCCGCTGTCTGCCGCTGAATCGCCTCTGCATCAAGCTGCTTGACTAGCTGAGCAAGCTCATTGGTGGCGCCGACGAAATTCGTGCCATTGTCGGAGATGACGTCGATCGGTACTCCCCGTCGATTGGTGAAGCGGACGTACGCCTGCAGGAACGAGTCCGTTGTCAACGCGTATGACAGCTCGAGATGCACTGCTCTCGTCTGCAAGCAGGTGAACAAGCACAGGTACCGCTTGTGTTGTGTCTTGCCGCGACCCTGCTTCGTCATAAACGGTCCAGCGTAGTCTACAGAGACTCGGCCGAATGCGCGTAGCGGCAGGCTGACTCGGACCTTAGGTAGTGGCGCCATCACCTGCATTGCCGGCTTCGTACGGTTCCGGGCGCACCTCGCACACTTGGCTTCCCAAGCTCGCACCTCTTCGCGGCCAGCGACGATCCAGTAGCGCGACGAGAGTTCGGCTAGCGTATGGCTGACACCGAACGCGTGATATCCTCGTTCGTGACATGCCTTGACAATCAGCTGTGTCACATGATCTCCTCGTGGTAGGACGATGGGATTGCGTTGTTCTGCAGTCAAGAAGTCTGCATGCTGTAGTCGACCTCCGACGCGTAGCAGGCCGGCGTCGTCAATCATCGGCTTGAGCGAGACTAGCTTGCTGGTTGCAGGGATCGGCTTGCCTGCCTTAACTGCAGCATACTCTGGTAGCGACTGTTGCTGCGCTCGCTTGATGTAGAACTCCTCAGAGTCTCGGATCGCTTGTGGCGATAATTCATCAAACTCTCGTTGTGCGGGTGGTACTGAGCAATTCGTAGCGAATCGCACACACCAAGCATGAACACGGCACATTCGTACCCAGTCGGAGTAGCGGCTTGGCTCTAGACGATTCAGCTCGCTGTGGCATTGGTCGACGGTCACCGCAGTCAGCTCGATGGACTCGTCCGTCGGTTGATTGTCTTTCTTCAACTCCAGAGTTGACGGACGGGGCTTCAATTCTGGCTGAACAGGCCATTCACTTTCAGCGGCACCCAAGAAGCCGGGACCGTTCCACCATAAACTGCTTCCCGCCAACTCTTGCACTGACATTCCTCGAGAGACCAGGTCGGCTGGATTGAGCGCGGTGGGCACGTACCGCCACTGGGTAGGATTGGTTTGCCGTTGAATCTCGCCCACTCGACTAGCCACAAACTGCTTGAAGGTGCGGCTGTAGTTGGTGATCCAGTGCAGAACGTTGCTGCTGTCCGACCATAGCGTCGTTGCTCGGGGGTCGAGGTTCAGTGACTCGGCGGATGATGTGGCGAGCGTTGCTCCGGTTGTCGCCGCCATTAGCTCAAGCCGCGGAACGCTGACAGCAGTCACTGGTGCCACACGGACCTTGCTTGCGACGAACCGTGCTGTCGGTTCTCCAGTGTCATAGTGACTGACCAGATACGCGACTGCTCCGTATGCGACCTCGGACGCATCTGAGAACACGTGAAGCTGGCTGCTGATTGCTGTGCGTCCCGTGGCCGTCAGGCAGCGTGGTACACGTACTGTTGATAGCTCCGTCACCTGCTCAAGCCAGCCGAGAACCTTCTTGACGATTGCTGGGGGCAGTTGCTCATCCCATGCTGCTCCACAAAGCCACATCTCTTGCAGCAGGACCTTTGCTTGCACGAGGTACGGTGCGAGGAGTCCAAGTGGATCAAACAAACTTGCTGTTGCACTGAGAAATGCGCGCTTCGTAGGATTTGAGCCGATCTCCGACAGCTGCAGCTGGAACGTGAACTGGTCCTCCTTGGCAAGCCAGAGGACTCCCAGTGTCTTGACATTCGGCAGCTCTCCCTTCGTGAGGTTGATCTCCTCAGCGCGATCCTCCTTCGGGATGGTCTGCAACACCGCCGTGGAGTTGCTCAGCCATTTTCGCGGGTGCATACTGGCTTTGTGCCACAACGCCGACAGCTGCCTTACGAGCTCAACGCCTTCCTCATCGCTTCGAACAGAGTCCATGGAGTCATCCATGTACGTTGACTCAAGGACCGTTTCCGCTGCACGAGGATAGGTGTCGGCGTGCTGATGAGCATTGTGTCTAGCCGCGTACTGCGCTAGGAAAGGCGACGCGTTCACACCGAAGACCACTCGATTGAACTCGTATGTGGCCGGTTCCTGCTCGTTATCCCGCCACAGAAAGCGATGGAAGGGCCTGTCCTCCGGAGCCAGGGATATCTGGAGATACATCTCCTGGATGTCGCAGATGATGGCGACCTTGTTCTGCCGGAAGCGCAGGAGTACCTTCGGTAGCGATTGCTGCAGCTTGGGACCAGCACTGATAACATCGTTCAGCGCTACACCATTGCTGATGCCAGCTGCGTCGAAAACCACACGTGTCTTCGTGGTGGCCTTATCTTCACGGATGATGGCGAAGTGTGGAAGGTACCATTCGTTTACAGAACCTCCACACTCGTTGTCAGGCACTCGTCGAATGTACCCGTTGGCTAGGTACTTGCGGATGACATCGCTGTACGCTGTTGCTGCTGCTGGGTCACGTCGCAGCCGCTTCTCCAAGCTGTGCAGACGGCCGAGTGCCTTCGCTCGGCTTTCAGGCATGACTGGACGTTCGGATTTCCAGGGTATGCCAACGCAGTAGCGGCCGTCCGTCACCTTCAACGACGCTGCAACTTTCTGCTCTGCCACCTTATCGTCGCGTGACATGAATTTCGTAGTGCTGCTGTTCACTTCTTCGATTTCCCACAGGCGCTTCAAGCTGCTCTGTAGGTCACCGTCGCTGAACATTGTGAAGCAGCAGCTCGCCGCTGGGTGTGCTGGTTGTACTTGGCCGATGCAGGTCCAACCTAATGCCGTCCGACGCGCCACGGGCTCATGGCTGTTACCCGAGCGCTCTTCATACGCCATGTGAAGCTCCGGATAGTCGGCACCGATAAGCACGTCAATGTGGCGTTTCGACGGTAGCGGCGGAAACTCAACGTTGGCTAGATGTGCGTACTGCTTTCCCAGGTGGTGCCAGTCTACAACTTCCATGTTGCCTGTTGGCTGCTCGATTGTGCACGCATGGAGAGTCGTCGACGTGGCTCCGTCAACACTTCGCAGAGTGCACGATACTGGTACAGTGTGAATGGTCTCTTGCTGTCCATTCAGCTTGCTGATGGTCAGCGACATGCTGGATCCAATCAGGCCGAGTTCTGCCGTAACATTGCTCGCTATGTACGAGCGCGTGCTGGCGTCGTCCAGCAGCGCGTTAACAGTTAGCGACCGCTTGCCGTTGGATAGCTGAACGGGAACTGTCCGAATCGACGTCACCGTCCGTACTCTATTCTCCTCTCCCTTCGTGCTGTTTCCGAGGGAGACAGCACTGAAGTTCTCCGGCTGCATGGCTCCAGTCTCTCCGGAGGCGTGGGTTGACGACGCTGGAAGCGGTTGACGGGGCTCACTGTGCAGCAGGCGATGGTGATGCTGCGTGCACCCGTCGATACCACACTCCCGGTCCCGTGGGCAATCCTTGCCGCTGTGCCCAGTCGCAAGGCATCTATAGCATGACTTGCTTCGCTTCGCTGCTGCCCAGCGCTGGCTTACAGTTTGTTTCTCAAACTCTGGGCAGCGCCAGATCGGGTGCTCGCCACCATTGCAGCATTGGCATGTGGACCTTGCGGTCGGCACGTTGCCAGCGGTGTTTGTAGCTGTCACGAACGTGGTCGTGCGCGGTTGCACAGCGTCGTGAGCAGTTGCCGTCCGAGTCGGCTGATTTCGACTTGTCCCGCTGGTTGACAATTGGCTTCTGACGTGATGCTGCTGGCTGATGCCTTCGATAGTTTCCGTGGCGGCAGCAAGAACTTCTGCCTCGGCATTCAGCCACTCCAGCAGCACCTCGACCGATTCGTCCTTTTGGTGGTGTACTATCCAGCGGCGATACTGGGCCAACAAGTTCACCGGCAGCTTCTGCTGGATCCGCTGGTAGAGAATGCCGGTACCTAGCTCGGTGTGCATACCGGCATCCTTTAACGTCACCACTGCCATGTCGAGCACATCGGTAAAGCGCTCCAGGTCCTGGGCTCTACCGGATCGAATAGGTGGAGATCGTTCCAGCTCTTCCATCCTAACCGCAAGGCGCCGGCGACTCCCACCGAAGCGTCGCTCCAGCCGCCGCAGAGCAGCATCGTATGCTGCTGCCGAGTAGCCAAGACTCTCGATGGCATCCAGCGCCTCACCCGCCACGTACTGTCGGAGCTGCAGCAGTTTGAATTCAGCGGAGAGCGGCTGCTGGTCCACACAAACGCTGAAAGCGGATTTCCAGCGCTCGTATTTTCGCTTCTCTCCGGTGAACACGGCAATTTCGATCCGCTTCAACTTGCTGGCGATGTTGATCTGTGCAGCTGCCGCTGGAGCAGTCCGTGGCGCAGGTCGAGCTGCGGTGCCTCCGACATATGTCGGAACTGGGGCGAATACTGCGGTCTGGGGTGCTTGCATGCCAGCGCTGGGTCTCACACCGTACTGTGACGCTCCGGCAGAGATGGTGTGCGACGGTCCAGTAGACACAGGTGAGTTGTACACGACTGCACTATTGCTCGCACTCCACTGCGGTTGCTGTTGTTGGTACATGTATGCCTGCTGCGGCCTAGCACTATTGTTGCCATACGTTGCATACATCATACTACGTGTTTGATCAGCAGGATCGTGGATCAGGAAGGCAGAGCCTTGTTCCTGATTTATAGCGGGAGCGTTGCTGCCCGTGGTCATAGTTGCAAATGACGCTGGCAGCACTGAACTACGTGGCTGGTACTCTGCAGCTGCTGCAGATAAAGCGGTGCATGCATTGCTGTTGATCATATCCGTTTGCGGTGGCGCGTGTGCTGACGCGGTTGCCATGGCAACGGTCGGGAAGGGTTCGGCAGGTTCCCCCACACGCTGACCACTGAACATTACAACACGACTGTCCGGCTCTACTTCCACCCGTTCTCCATAGTCTGCAGCCCTGGGCAACGTCACCCGCGCATCGTGCTGGCGACCAAGAAACGGTGCATCTTGGAGCGCCGCACGCAGATCTAGAATTTCTCTGCTTTCCTCTCGTACTGACGCTAGTAACGGCGTTGCCCCTCTCAGTGGCGATTGCTTTGGACTGGGAGTCTGCCTGGTCGACGCTGCCAGGCTCGCTCTGCTGCTCCTGATGAGCACACTCCTGGCCAATTCCATGGCATCGGAATACTGGCCTTCCAGCTGCTTGTACTGCTTCTGGAGACCAGCATGTCTCCTAGAGTCAGTGTCCACCACCGCTTCCATGTATTCCATGATGACCTTCTTGGTCTCGTTATACACTGTCGTCAAGTGGCTTCTCCATGTCTTTACGTCATCTTGGTTCGGCACCTCATTCGTTGACTCCACTGTCAAATTTCTCCTCGTATTTGTGAAATCCGTTTTCAGCTCTCGCTTTTTCCGTGCGAGGTCTTCTAGTTTTACCTCCATGATGGCTCCGTGAAAACCATCCTCTGCTACCAATAGTTTGGAGTTGACAGGAGGGCATGCACATCGAAATCACGCCTTGTCAACGACCCGTTCTTGCTCAGTTTTAACGACCACACTCAGCAAAGAACAAAACAACAACGAAACACAACGACACACCAACGCTGATGTGGCATCGCAAATCCCGTACCGTGCACGCAGGCACTGGGTTGCAACAGAAAAAAGACGCGCTGCAAGCGTGCCAAGCAGCGAGTGAGTACAGAACGCGTACTAATGCCAGTCATGGCAACGGAAGATAAAATTATGGAGATCGACCCGATCGAGAGCAGAGTACGAAAAAAGCACACATTCAAAGTTCAAACTGTGCAACAGAAGCAGAAGAGGAAAACGAAAATGAACACTTGTCGTGAAGTGAAGTGCTTCTGTCCAAGGGTGCTTACACCCGACGGGGTGACAGCGCCCCTAGTCAGACAATACAAGGCAAACGAAATAGAAATTAGCTGAGTCACAGCGCGGGACTCCGAAACGAAAACCGGTGAGTATGTAAATATTAATTGTTTCGTACCTGCTGTACAACGTAACAATTCGTAACGTAATTTCAAACTAGCACTCGTAGAATTGTAGTGCGAATGTGCCACTCGATTATAGTAACAACAACAAAGAGATACTCTTCTAAACATAAGTAGTGTAGTGTAGTTCCTCCAGCTACCTGTCCCTCCAGGAAATCGCGATTCCACGGATGCAACAAATTTCGCGATTTTGGCCGAAACCCGCAAATTTCTGAAAAGTCCCCGATTTCCCGCGTTTTTTGTTGTTTTCTGCACTTCTTTTTACATTTTTCTGCACTTTTCACGCAGTATACAGTGCTATCTATGATTCTGTACGTGGGTTATTTGCACAGTACGCAAATAGCGATTCTAATGATGCAACAAATTACGTGATTTGGCCCAAATCCGCAATTTCCTGCCAATAATTCCGCGAGTTCCTGGCAAGTTCCGCATCTTTCCGCACTTTTCGCCGCATTTTTTTGTTGTTTTCTGCCGCAATTTCTTGCGCAAGTTTTCGATGACTTTTTCCGCAGGGACAGAGCTACATACATCATTACAATCATGTACATGTACCTGTACCTGATGTACATAGGCATAGTACTAGTAGTACTAGTAGTAGTAGTCTCAGTGTAGACTCACCATATCCAGATATCAGCGGAGCTCATGTGCAGCGAATGTACCAGATATCAGCGGAGCTCATGTGCAGCGAATGTACCATGATGTACAGTCAGTCATGTAGATGGTAGATCTACGTGTCTACATGTACATGACTACAATCATTGTCGATCCACATCATCATAATTATCAACAGACTCAGTATACACAGACGGTCGAAACAAAAACATCTCGGTGCTTTGATTCGCCACATCAGACGAAAAGAATACAGCCGAAACTCAGTACCGGACATTCCTCCATTGCCGAAACCGTAACGTCGAGGTGAAGGAAGTCGAAGAAGTTAGAACTTTCCGGCTGCAACGCTCTACCCAAAGAGTAGTACTAGTAGGTGTCCTGACTGTACTGAGTCTGTGAGACTTGCGCCGTGCGGCCGCTGTCGGACCTGGATTGTTGTCGGCAATACTGACTAGACTGGGCGCAGGATCGGTCCGTTACTTTACGCTTGTCGTCGACATCCTCCCCGCCCGTGTCCAACGAGCTCACGGTCAGCTGTGCTGCTTGCATGCTGTGGGCGCATAGATGCAGCGTGTCGGTGTGAACACAGCCGATCGACGGCAGCACCTGCAACCTGTAAGAACCCACTGACTGTGTTGCACGTCGCGGCGCTACCCGCCAGCCTCATCTACCGTCTGAAATGGCGGACGGAACGAAGCGCACCAGAGACAGAGTGTCCCTTGTCACTGCGGACACGTGTGACGCTGGTTTACGCAGAGATGTCAAACCGAAAGCGACGTTACAGTTGTTGCTGTGGCTGTTCGCAATCAGGACGTGTTGGTGTGTCGACGTGAGCGCGACACCGGTAAGAAAGTGTTGCGTCGTTTATTGTTCTGTATACTAGAGGTGATTGTGTTTGTGCAAAGCGTAACTAATAACTGTTGGACCGGCCGCCTGCATGGCACAGCGTGGCGTAATGCTTCTGCACAGCATGGCGTAGTACAGTGCATAACACACTCTCCACCCGCAGTTTTTTTGGTGTAGCATGATCGATCGCTAGGCCAACACTACGTGAGTGCTCAGTACAGTAGGTAACAACACTCAACAGTAACAGGCAATGTCTGGAACACAAGACATTGTGAGGTAGCTCATGTACCCTGGCCTTGCTGGAAAATAAAACCGAGGCAGTGAAGAAACTTCAAGAAAGGCACCCGAAAGATTCAAAGTGCCACAATGACATTATGTACCCCCCCCCCCCCCCCCCCCGCACTAGTACAGTCACAGCAAAGGTGGTGGAATGATGGGGCCGGCGTGAGCGTCAGTCAATCACTGACGGCAATATTCCATGGGCTCGGTGTGTCAGCGAGCCACTTGCACTCCTAGGCGCACTGGCGGTGTGAGCTCGTATTGCTGGCTGCAGTGCGTCCGGCCTGGCCAGTTTGATAGGCGGGCAGCCACAGGAAACACACATTTTGCTTTGGCATCCCAGGCATTACTGTTTTGAGTTGTTTTTGAACACTACCAGGGCAACGGGATCACGAGATGTTGCTACTGAGCTCAATTGCGAGTTGCTCGGCGAAAACACAAACGTGTTGATGGGAGGAGGTGTCAAATGGAAATCGCTAAACCGCCTCACAAACTGTGCAAACACGATACTCATACTTATTATATCTTGACGCCACTGCTGAGCATATCTGCATGCGGGGTGGTAATTTTCTATAAAGGGGAGGTATGGTTTAACATCAACATTTTACTACTTGTAGTCTTCGGGTGCTGAGTCGAATGTTCTTGGTCCGAAGAAGCTGAGACGCTCCCTTCATCCTATTCCCATTCGAACTCGCGCAGTTCACTCGAAACTGGGTGAGTGCGCCCTTCTTGTACTACGTAGGATTCAGTGTGTGGAATATGTCACTGGAAGCCGTCGCTTAGTCCTGTGTGGAATATGTCACTGGAAGCCATCGCTTAGTCCTGTGTGGAATATGTCACTGGAAGCATCGCTTAGTCCTTGTAGAGCTCCGGATGAATATGAAACTCCCAGAACGTGTAGTCTTCTGGATGCTGAGTCGAGTGGTCTTGGTTCGAGGAGGCTACAGTTCAGTGTTTGGTCTTTATTCCCAATCTAATGCGATCCCATCCGTGGGCCGCATACTAAATGCGTACGCCAGTTGCCTGGTCACCGAGCCAGTGCAGTGTATGGCGTAGGCAACAACCTGCAGTACCTGCGACTCTTCAGACTCAACGAGGTGTATACATTGCAGCGCACGGGGAAGTCTTCGTGGACCAAGATTCCAAGACCAAGAGATTCTTGTGTAAGGCCAAAACTCTTTCTTGTCTTGAGAGAGTGTGTTGCATGGGTTCAACCGGGTAAATTGCCACTTCACATGTTCTTGCTACACCTGTACAGCGGGCTGTGTATACTGTGAGACCAGTAATGTTAGCGAACATTTAATTCTAACGAGTTCACGAATTTGAAAGAATCGTTAACATTTGATGTCGTTATGTGCAAAACGATATGTACATGTGCAGTCATTTGCCGGTTTTGAGACAGAATTCGTTAGAATTTCACCTCGTTAACCCACAAAAATCCGGAGATCGTTAACTTTAATTGACGTTAAAATATCTGGTCTTACAGTACACCACGCAGCTTTTATCTTTCTCTGTGATCCTCATCTGTGCAATTATTGTTGCCGTGTTGTTTTGTGTTGGCAGGAAATCACAAGTTGCTTGCCCAGGAGCGCACTGTGCAATCGAAACGGGGACATGCCGGGTTAGATTCAGTTTGACGCTGTCCGAGATCCTTCAATATCTGCCCTGTACCGTCGTGTCTCGTTCATGCTTGGTTAACTTCACATGGGTTTATATGGAGAACAGCGGGGTGCCCAACTGCTGCTGTGTGTAATGTATTGGTTTCACTAGAAACTCAGTGTTACCGTCTATGCTGAACTTGTAATGACATAACGTTAATGTGCGTATGGAAAACTGTGTTGTGACTTCTATCGCAAGTAAGTAGTCAACATCCTGTCCTGCGGTGTTGCATTTCTACCAGTAAAGAGTATGGAGAGATCCTGTTCTCCCACAAGACTAATGTTCTCTTTATCGAGAGGCATAGAGGGAGCGAAGGGCAGAGTGAGTATTGTGTAGGACTCCTCGACAAAGTATTTCACATAAAGAACTCAGTTCAGTGGTGTCAGATATGTACTTTGACTGCTAACGGTATTTCATGCAGACAGTCATCAGGCGCACCTGCTGCTGTTGTGTGTGTGTGTGTCTGTGTATATGTGTGTGTGTGTGTGTGTGTGTGTGTGTGTGTGTGTGTGTGTGTGTCTGTGTATATGTGTGTGTGTGTGTGTGTGTGTGTGTGTGTGTGTGTGTCTGTGTATATGTGTGTGTGTGTGTGTATGTGTGTATGTGTGTGTGTGTGTGTGTGCATGATTGCACTGTTCTACTACCTCTTCTACACAGAGTCGGTGAGCAGCACATGTCGACCAGCTCCTGTGGGCAACGTGTTCAGATCTTACGGTACGCAACTTACTTCCCAACAGTAGTCACAGGCTGCTTGTGCTTGCTGGTATAGCACCATACACACCATACACATCATACACAGTATACACACCATACACAGTATTTGACCAGCACATGTGCAGTGTGCTGTGCAGTGTACTATGCAGGATCCATATGCAGTGTACTATGCAGGATCCATAATATGCAGTGTACTATGCAGGATCCATATGCAGTGTACTATGCAGGATCCATATGCAGTGTACTATGCAGGATCCATATCACCCGCGGGGACCATCTAGGTGGTACGGGACAGTTACAATAGATTGTATTAGAGGCAATCGGCTGGCAATGCTGACACAGAGAACAAACAACTATTACTTGTGAAGTACATTGCCGTACTGACAATGTAATGCTCTGGGCATGGGGCGCATTGTCAAGTCTGGCCTGTGTCCCACAGTCTGCTGTTACCCATTCAGCTGCCGGAGGTGGCGTTGATCCGTGCGCTTTCCTGGCGGTTTGTAATCCTGCAAGGACGACTGCTGCGGCCCAGATAATTATTTTGGTTGTAATGCGGAAAGGGGTAAGGGGATGGGGGTGTAGAAAAGACAATGCTATCCCACCCACTCGTCCCCTGCACATCTAACCTACTGCACATGTAGGTTGCATGCACTTTTGCATGCACCATCAGAAATCTTCTTTGCAAAGATCCATTGTATCCGCCAGCTGTCTAGATCTGACCATTTGGCAGCATTTGACCAACTGTTTTAAATACTGAAGTACTCTTATCGAAATATGCCTCGTCGCTATTAGAATGGTGAACTCGGTCACCATGGCATGTTGATGGTGCCTTTAGCTGGAATGAGTACCACTGTAGCTGCAAGACCATGCAGTCATGCCTTGGCCCGGTGTGGCTTTCCCCTGGGAAAGCAGGGTGGTGGTGGTGGTGGTGAAAACCCTGGGTTCCACCGTAGCCACGCATGCTCTGCGGCTGTGCTGAGTCACAGCGTGCATGCAGTCGTGGCACTCTAGCTTCTGCACTGTAGTGTGAAGTATTACAATACATTTCTGATAATACATGTACTTGCCCGGCACTAAGGTACCCTGCAATAATTTTCAGCCATCACTGCATGCTGCATACTTTGGTGGTATGACTTTGATTACAGCACCCGAACCAACAATCAACTCAGTTTCTGTTTGTGAATACCTTCTGTGGTGTTTCGCAGGATGCAACAAACCCGAGTGGGGATTGAGGGTTGCTGAGAACTGCACCAACTTGCCAGAACAAGTGAATAATGTAACGGAAGAATGCATCACAACAGGACAAGGACCAATGATCAACATTACATGGCAACTACCAGAAGGTATTGAAAACAAATCTCAGGATATATAATTATTTACTCTCCCTGCAGGACAGGACAATTACATATTCACCAGAGTTACAAGCGGTGAGTAAACCTTTTTTTCAGGCTGGGAACTTCTCCTGGACTTGGCTGTGTAGTCTGGTTGCTTGATGGCAACGTGCCCCAATGCCATGGGTTCACTTCAATAAGTACCCTGACTGGTGGCACTGGTCAGGCTAGGTACCCGAACAAAAACTGATCAGTGAAAATACAGGCAGTATGCTCATACGTGCACTTCCATCCTCAGTTTGTAATTTCTTGCTTGCTGACAGTATTTGCCCCGGTTTTATCTGTGTGTGTGTGTGTGTGTGTGTGTGTGTGTGTGTGTGTGTGTGTGTGTGTGTGTGTGTGTGTGTGTGTGTGTGTGTGTGTGTGTGCTTGCTTAGAATCACAATGGAAAATCACCGGATACAAGATAAACATTATCAGTGATGAAGTGTATTTCGTTTGCAGTTTTCTGGTTCCAGCGGAGCAAGGCAAGGTAAGACCAGAGTGATGCTCTCTGGGGTTCGGTGAGTGAGTCACCTTTGGTATTGAAGCTGTTTCTCATCTCCAAAACAGAGTATAATTATCGTTCACGTATTCCTCTCAGTCTGTGAAAGCTTGCTTTCCTGCAGTGTTCACATGCACGCATGTGTGTGTGTGTGTGTGTGTGTGTGTGTGTGTGTGTGTGTGTGTGTGTGTGTGTGTGTGTGTGTGTGTGTGTGTGTGTGTGTGTGTGTGTGTGTGTGTGTGTGTGTGTGTGTGTGTGTGTGTGTGTGTCAGATCCACTCTGATTTAGCCACTCACACTAGTAGCAAATATTACCTTCACTGGGGGCAGGCCGGGTAACTGCAGTTGGATCCCGGGGCGGATACCTGATGCCGTCAATCCTTTTTCTGCACCTTGTCCTCACCCACTTACTGAGGTGTGGTGAGCCCATAAGTGGGATCATTTTCAAGTCCACCCAGAGTTTTGGGGATTTCAGGGGGTGTCGGCCGTTGGGCGGTTCAATAACCAATTGAGTCATCTTTCTAAGATTCCTTTTGAGTCTCTCTCCCCTCTCCCGGGGGGACTCACGTGACCAGTTTTGGCAGTGAGCAACAAGTACAAGTACAAGTACAAGTGTGTGTGTGTGTGTGTGTGTGTGTGTGTGTGTGCGTGCGTGCGCGTGGCTTGTGCATCTCTGATCCAGACTTGGTTTGCACTTCGCAACTACGATCAGTTGCTTGAATGCGCTCGACACTCGAATCCAGCCCCGGCCGATCGTCTTATAGACTTCAAACTGATTGAGGTGAGATCGCTTCCCATGCATGGTGATAATTTGTTAACAAACATTTCACCATATCCAGTCGTTCTACACCTGGAGTTAATGATGGGGGGGGGGGGGGGGGGTGAGATTCGACCCGCTGAAGAGTCTTGTAGTCTGTATATTACCTAGTGCATCATTATTGTATGCGTGCTGTTGGTGCATGGCGCATAATGCTTTTGTGTGGAAAGTCCGTCTTTGTCTTGAATTGTTTGTGTCCAATTGTGTTTCCATCATGTCTTTGTATTAAAGGGAAATATTTTAATCTTATCCTGTCATCAGTTGTCGGAATGTGGAGATGACACAGAGCCAGGGGTAGTAAGACGTGGCGCGATACAACATCTGCTGCAGTGTGTGCTTGGTGTCTTGATAAACTAAACTGCAAACCTCGTTTTCTGGAGTGTAAACAAATTCACGGTTCACTCGAGACTCAGTTGGACTGAGTTTTCAGCATCTGTAGGAACATCACCACCCTGCAAAGATCAAAGGCGCAGATGCAGGGACTGAAAATCTCATTCACTACATCCATGTTTCCCTCGTGCCAGGCCACGAGTTCCCAATTAAGAACTGGGGACCAGAGCACGGCTGGGAAAAATCCTTCCGCTTCCAAGCAGGACTTGAACCTGGTACCCTCTGTTTCTCAATCATGGTCTTAGACCATCCCGCTACGCCTGCCTGCCTGAATTGTACCCAATGTATGTATGTATGTATTATTTATTTATTTATTACAGCATCTCATAGCACAGTGAGAACACCGGCCAATACAAAGAGAGATGTATGTATGTATGTATGTATGTATCAGGGTTCAAGCCAAAGCGCCCCCCCCCCCCTACTCTGTTTGTGCGCCCCCCTCTGAAAAAGTGCCGTCCTCCTACCAGGGGCGTCGGAAGGTTTTTCAGTGTGGTACGGTCAGCCATCTGAAGTACAATTTACTCGAGTGGGAGGGGCTGTTGAGCCGAACATTTTGGAATTCTAGAGCCCAGATCAGTGTGTCTTATTAATTCACGAAGTACCTGGGGCAAGAAGTGGCACGGTCAATACCGTAGTGACCGTACTGTGTCCGACGCCCCTGCCCTACTCATTTTCCGATTTTCGTGTTTTTCATGCAATTCAACCAAAATGCGGTCGAAAGTCACTATTAGATGGTTCATAAAGGCACATTTGTCTGGGGCGAAGTCGGGGATTCGCACCATACGTTGCATTTAGCGTGACAAGACAATATTGGAAAGTGGAAAAAGGGATACGGGGTTACTGTTTCCCATGCTCGCCCCCCCCCCCCCCCCCCCACTATTTTGACCTGGCTAGAACCCTGTGTATGTATGTATGTATGTGTATGTATGTATGTATGTATGTATGTATGTATGTATGTATGTATGTATGTATGTATGTATGTGTATGTATGTATGTATGTATGTATGTATGTATGTATGTATGTATGTGTGTATGTATGTACTCAATCTGCGGACAGAACTGTTTCGTCCTTTGTGGACTAATCAGCGCAGCACAGAGGACATGAGGCCGAACCTGGTAGTAATGAAAAATAAATTTTCCAAAGCCAGATTCAAACCAGGCCCGAACGTACCTTGCCAGAGTGCAGTGTGTGGATGGTCATGGGCATGTATGTTTGTATGCATGCATGCATAAACTTCCTGAAGATATTCGTTCACTCTCTACAACAGCGAAATTTGGTATTGCTGTTCGTCGGTATCATTCGCAATCAATGTTTTCTTTGAAAGGTATTCCTGACTTTTGTGTCTAGGCTAACCACATCTATGATAGTTTCAATAGTTTGTGTATATGTCAGTTATAGTAGTCCGCAATGCTGCTTTTCTAATTCTCATTATGATTAGCATGCAATGTACTACCCGAAGTACTGAATTTACTTCTTCTGTACTCTATATTCTAATGTATCTTCTACCTCTTCTCCCTTACGAACATACTTTCTCATTTTCCATACTTACTTAGGAGACTCCCTTCGATAGGCATCTATTTGCCTCTGGAGGATCCGTGAAATAAAAATCAATCAAAAAAATCAATCAAGCAATCAATCAATCAAATGCATGTTTGTGTGTGTGGGTGTGTGTGTGTGTGTGTGTGTGTGTGTGTGTGTGTGTACATGCGTGTATGTGTGTGTGTGTGTGTGTGTGTGTGTGTACATGCGTGTATGTGTGTGTGTGTGTGTGTGTGTGTGTGTGTGGGTGTCCAACCTGTCGGAAGCCCACCCTCTTGCCAAAGCATTTTGGAAGTTGGACTAGTTTCGGCTCCACAATCCAGTGTGTTGTTACTATAATAATATTACAGTAACGACACACCGGATTGTGGAGCCGAAACTAATAGCTTTCATAGCTTTCACAATCCAGTGTGTCGTTACTATAATAGTAACGACACACTGGATTTTGAAAGCTATGAAGCTATGAAGCTATGTTATAGCTTTCATGGCTGAGGTTGTTGGTACGTCTGTTGGCCCTGGGTTCCCAGTACCCAGTTGCCGAGGCTGGTTGGTAAAATAACTCCAATTTCACTTCAAGGTACCAGCGCATCTAGTGTCTGCTTTTATCAAAGCAGCGTGCTGTCTATACTGGTTACCCCAGCAAGTGTAGGGTGTGCATAGGTAACTGTCTTGGCCGTTTTATGCCGATGTACTCCGTGTGGTGTAGACCAGGTGTGCATTGGTGGTCGATTCACTGTGTGTGTGTGTGTGTAATCACATGGCTTCGCCAGTTGTGTGGATTAGACAGTTATCTGGCGCAAGTCTTGATCTGTCTCATTCAGATCTTGTTCGCTATCGTTGCTATAAGAGAAAATCTGTGGGTGCACATCCAGTGCATTTGCAGATTTGCGTGCTTCTCTTGCGACGGGCGTATACATGGTGTGTACATGTGTATATATGTGTGTGTGTGTGTGTGTGTGTGTGTATGTGTGTGTGTGTGTGTGTATGTATGTGTGCGTGTGTGTGTGCGTGTATGTGTGTGTGTATGTGTGTGTGTGTGTGTGTGTGTGTGTGTGTGTGTGTGTGTGTGTGTGCGTGCATGCGTGTTTGTGTGCGTGCGGGCGTGTGTGTTGAATAAATGTATGCAGGTGATAACACTGCCAGCCCCAAGAAGACTGGATCCACAAAGCACAGTGTATGGTGGCAGAGTAGGCAGTAAGTACTATAGTAATTGCAGTAGTATGCGTTCTGTGATTAATGTAGATGATATCCCCTCTGATGACATCATCGCATAATGATATGACTGATTGTGTTATGTTGAATGGAGAACCGACAATGGGCAGCACCCATGCTTGTCATATCATCAAACAAACGCTTTCGGTTCTGGCAAGTATTGGTTGATAGTCAACACATACTGTCGTGGACATGGAAATCCGGTCGCTCGTCTAGCTGCCCCAGGGCGCTGGCCATGCAGCCGTTGGTAAGCAGTACACGCATGCATTATGCATTGCTGGTCCCATCGGATCAACAATCATGATTGTGCACTGCATGCAGCGTTCTGCGGCGCCGGCCCCGGTCAGTCGACTGGATTCCCATGTCCGCGACAGTACTTGAAAGTACATTAATCTCTGAGAAGAGAAATCAGCGACACCCCAGCCATTATGCACTGATCCGTGAACTCCTCCACCACATGAGCTGCATCGAGGCTTTGCCCAGGCTGTACCGGTGCCACCTCCTATTACTCCAGAGGCGTACAGAGGATTAGTAAAATAGCTTTGGGTCTAATTTCTGTTATGGCTACTAGTGATGTTAAAATGCTGCCATGTGGGTTATGTTTCTGCTGCAGTTGAAGATGACCTCAACAAGTGTTTCGTTGGATCTCCAATCATTCATGGCGTGTTCGATCCATGCAAGATAATCCATCTTCCTTATAATGAGACCGACAGCCCTCCGATACCCACTGCTCCCCGCACTACTGAAGCCAAACAATCCGAATTGCCCACGGCCACGGTGCGGAGCACATCAACCACGCCCAGCAGCAATTCCCTTGGCAACGTGTCCTCCACTGTAACTGCAGTGTTGACAAGCACCTCCAAGTCCGACGGTAACTCCTTTCAGTCAGCACCTCCACATCCAACTGCCACGGATGCAGCCGGAACCGCGCCAAGTGCTGATGTCGACGGACCCTCACAGCAGCTGGCCCTTGCAATCGTGGTTGCATTGGGCTTTGTCGTGCTGATCATGGCTGGTGTTCTGCTGCTGCTTGTGCGCAGAAAACATCGCGTGGAGAAGACCAGCAACTTTGTGGAGATTGTAACGGGTAAGTGCACGCAGCTCACGGTCGTAAGTTTGGCCGGGGAAAGACGGAAATATAATTGGCTGCAGTGCTTTTCTGAGGTTCCTAGGATGCTAAGTTAGCAGTTACGCTCGCATGATATTCTGTCGGTCTTTGTTATGGGCTGCATCTGAGTATAAATGGATCGGCTATGATAATACTATGTACGTGGCTTATTTTGAAAGCATAGCTATAGGTTGCTCAGTGCCAGCGATAGCAGTGCCCGGGGCTACACGGTGATCAGCGGTAATTAATCCGGCAGGCCAGGCTTCTTAGAACATCCCTGCATCACTGTGTTCGTACGCAGTCACGCACGCACTTGCATGCTCTCAGTTGATTGCTGGCTAGCAAAGTTCAACCACTCAGTTTCCAGAATGCCGGATGCTGTGCCCTGCTGTGTGCGGGGCACATGAACAAAGCTGAGTTGCTAGGCAATATGCCCTGGGCTAGGTTGTACAGCAACCGTGAGGGCATCAAGGGCTGCTTCCCACTGACTGGCCTAAAACGCTGGTCAGTGGTTGAGTCACACTGTCTTCCTGCATGGCCAGCAATATGCTACCAATGTACATGTATAAGCAAAGGATTACTTTCTTTCTCTCTATTTGTTGTGCAGACTACCAGAAGAATCCACTGAAGACCAGCCCTGCTGAATTAGTTCCTCAGCAAATACTTCCCTTACCTCAATACCAACCTCCTTCACCTCAGTCTCCAGTAGTTCCACCGCCACCTATCACCCCTCCTCCCATTGCCAGCCATCGTTCACACGTGTATATCTCCTACTCAAGATCCAACCCACAACATCGACTGAGAGTGACACAGCTATCTGATTGGCTACATGAGAATGGCATAGCCGTTGTGGCAGACTTTTACTATGCCAATGAAGTTGCCTGCAGTCCACAATTCTTTGTCGAGAGAGGCATCACATCCAGTCATTTTGTGCTGGCCGTATGCAGCGAGGCATATGCCGATGTTTGGGCCACAGACTCTGCTGAAGACTCGACCGACTGGGCAATGCTGCAGCCGCCATCCAGGCTGACCTCGTGGGAAATCAACCTCATCCGCGTGTGCTTGGGCAGTCCGGCAAACGCAGTTGCAGAAGTGATTCCGATTGTCATGCTCAGTGACGATGACGAGGACCTGCCTCACGTGCCTGACCTGGTTCCTCTGCCGTTGCTCAACCGCCGTGTGTACGGCTTAGGAAATGTCACAACCAACCGAGATCAGCTGGACCTGCTGCAGAGACTGCATGATGAGATATGATGTCATTGCTTACTCCGCTAACCTTGTTCTTCAAGTACGGATGATTTTCACAGGACATGATCATGATGTTGCCGTGATAACACTGGCGTTGATGTGCATGACTGTACTTGCATTTCTTGTTCTTCAGGTCCACTAAAACTTGTGACGAAAACCAATCTTTGATTTTCCACATGGCAAGGAACTCAACATGAATTGAGTTATAACTTATGTATCATAATTTCCATACAATTATTACTGTACTAGGAATATCTTGAGTGAATGCCCCTCGATCTGCAATCTTGATTCTCTGATACCCCTAGGCATAGAACACATGAACTTTTCAGTCTAGCCATTGTATGGACCAGAACACTGCTTCGTTCAGCTCTGGTGTAGGCTTTCTCAGAATCATCCGGGATTATTCTACCTTCTGCTATCAAGCTCAGCTCCGGCATGTCATGCCTAGGAGACTTTGAAAAACCCTAGTTATTATGAAAGTGTGCAGAATTATAGAACTAGTCGCTCCCCGGCATCTAGATAGACTTTCTATTATTTTACGTTTTTCAGCTGCAGCTTGGCTTTCACTCCCCCTCCCCCAATAATTGCATGCTATGGGATATGTGGAATTAATAAATCTCAACGTGCTGCCTACTTCTAATCTCTTGCAACAATCCGATTTCCTCAACCCCAGTCGAGATACTTGCATGACCGTGACCGGCGTGGCTGGCTGATAACGCAAGAGTGAATCCGCTAACCCTGAGAAGTAGTCGTATTGGTCAACACTCAACAGGTATGAATACCTCGAAAAGAAAGTATAAGGACTCTGGACCAACAAAGGTGGCACATGCAATGCACCTTCAAGTATTAGTTGCGGAGCCCATTTGTAACACACACACACACCTAGTACCTGGTCCTGGTCCTGGTAAACACTGCCATTACGGTCACGTGTCCCCTTGCGGGGCCGACAATATGGAACGACGAGCGACGGCAGTCCGCTGAGAGAGAGGTCAGGGACTCAGGGACCATGTTCGAGAGAGCCATCTCTGGCAGCTACATGATGATCTGGCTTATCATCGGAAATGATTCCTCTCACGGCTGCCGCTTGAAGTGGTCCATCACTCTCCACAACAGAGCGAACATTCCATGAGCCAATGCTGAGAGTCGTTCCAAGTCGTCGTCTTCGTGCGGTAGTTTGCTCCACTCGCGGGCTTGCAAGGCCTCGCGAAGGACTCCGAGGTGGGGGCGACGAGGAGAGTGTCGGCATCGTAACTATCCGACCAAGTCTCCTGTCGATAAAGACCCCACCTCAGGCACTGTTGGCCTGGACGGCCCGGCCTGGACACACACACACACACACACGCGCGCGCGCGCGCACACGCACACACACACCTTACCTGACCTTTGACGCCCATCGCCGGAGGCGATGATAGCAATGCTACGGCAGAAGCCATAGCAACTTGTGCTGGGATTACACCAGTCCATTCAACAGCTTGCAAGGCTGAAGAATTGACCGTCACCTGGTCACTATTCAGCCTGGTCTACACCATACAGCTATTTGGAGTGACATTTTCTGGCCAGTGAACCCCTATTTTTGGTCTTTTCATTTTTTTTTTTTTTTTTACACACACACACACACCTGTCCTGGAGATGGTGGAGCTAACGGAACCGGCGAGAACACACGCGTACATGACTGAACGCTGCTGGGCAGTCGGGTGCGAGCCAGTCCTCGAGCACCGGTGACGACTGCGGCCTTGCGCAGTCCGAAAGCAGCGGGCATACACCTTGTACACAGCACAGCGCGCAGCACAGCAGGCATCCTGCACATAGACTTGCCAGGGCTCGGGAGACTGAGGTGCGGAACAGCGGTGAACAGCTAGACCACCCTTGCTTCGAAACCAACGCCCACAATCTCCACAGTGGCAAGCCCCTCGCTGCTCAGTAATCAGCTTGGCCCGCTCAACCACACTCGTCACATTTGTGGCGAGCACGATCTCCAGTGCGCGAGAATGACGGATTGCAATCCGCACATACCACTGGGCCAGGCTGAGGCACATTCTCCACAGGCTCGGCGTACATAGCCCGCCAGTCAGCGCGGGACTCACAAGCAATAGGGTACCATTCCTTGGTGAGGCCACAAACTCTTAGGTCGGAGACAACGCAATCCTTCCAGCGCTTGCGAGGGCCATGTGCTGGGCGACGTGTGGGAAGTGAGCCAAACAGGATCTGTCTCGGCATCCGGCTACTGTCCATCTGGGCAACATGGCCCAGCCACTCTAGGCGACGCTGTGCAACCTTCACGCAGATGGTATCAGTGTCACCCCACATCTCCAACAGTTGGGCGGGGGCACATACACACACACACACAGGGCCTGCTCTAGACATTCAACTCAGCCCGGTCAGAGTGTACCTGGCGCATGCAGGCCAGCCGGGTCAAGCCGGGTCAGATCATCCTGCAGAAAAACAACCAAAAAGCCTGCTCAAAACGCAGGAAAACAGAAAGGCGAATTTATTACCGGAAATCGGAAATTTTAGAGAACAAGGCGAACTATCAAAGTCCGCAAACGCAGAAGGTAAACAACATTATTGTGAAGAATGCCAAGCAGTAACATAATAGAGCACTGGGGGGGGGGGCTGCAGCACCTTGTGGAGTGGCTGCTTGCTGCGACTGAATCACCTGCATGGCCAAGCCGACTGGCATCTGCTTCACCATCTGCTGAAAGGCTTCAGCAGACTGGAGAACTGGTGGAGATGCAACTGCTGCTGCTGCTGCTTGCGCTGGCGCTAAGTGACTGGCGCTGCTGCTGCTGTTGCTGGTGGCGCTGTTGCTGCTGCTGGTGCTGCTGCTGCCGCTGCAGCTCTGGGTGTGCGGGCCAGGTCCCTCCGTTCAGACGAGGTTGACGTTGCAGTCGTAGTGCGCTGAGTCACCTCAGAATGCCATGCAGCCATAGTCTTGTCGTAGTTGAGGCAGTGAGTTCTTACCTTTCAACCACGCATCGCAACCAAATCCACCGCCGCTCGTCTTCCTTTGGAAATGCGTCTTGCACAAAGCGCATGACATGGATAGACTGCCTTGGTCGTAGTCCAGCCAGGGTTGACCTTTCTTCCAAGAGTCTTGGAAAGCGTGAGTTTTTTTCTCTTCGCTGCGGGCTCCATCGTCCAAATCACCAGTCGGCTGAAAACTTGCAACTGTGTCAAAAGCTATAGCCAAAGTTACGCTTTTGACTACCTGCCCCATCGACTTCCTGCGTGATGTCCTGACTTCCTGCTCGCCGCTGGCCAGATCGCGCTCGAACCAGTTGACCACAGTTGTCCCTACTCCCTAGTCGAGTTTCTGTCGCTTGTAGACTGTGGTCTGTAGCAGGGAGTAGTAAAATACACTGGTCTGTAGTGTGTACGGTTGCACTAGATTTGCAACAGATGGGGTCCGCGAGTCGTAAAATACGGGTATTTTAGGAATCCAGTTTGTTAGTTTGAGACATTTTTCAGCCGGGTCAGACTGGACCCGGTGTTATCTGTTCAGCCAGGTCGTGCAGTTCCCCAGCCGGGCGCGTGACCCGGCTGACCCGGCTCTCCAGCAGGCCCTGACACACACACACACACACACACACACACACACACACACACAGTGACACACACACAATATCTCCACTCTATACCCCCCCCCCCCTACACACACACACACACACACACACACACACACACACACACACACACACACACACACACACACACACACACACACACACAGAGGCACGACTAACGGAGAAAAGTACATTGCTGTTTGACTGAGCTCCGAGTTCAAACGCACCCCTGCAGGACATGGAATGGAAACCTAAACGGATTGTTGAGGTACCATCACACTGCTTTCACTGTTCGCATCAGAATGCTTAGAAAGAAGTACTGTAAGAGTTGAACAGTTTCCTCTGAGACAAAAATGCGATAATACTCATAAAAAGGACACACTTCAGGCTCATTACAAACATCTTGAAAGTTTTTGTCTTCACAAGTATACTTTCAAGCCTTCTCATCAGGTGAAATACAGGCAAGGGAAAAGGAACAGGAACAGTGGATTAAATACAGTAAGAAGGTGGTAAAGCATGTGCGGTGGACACATCCGATTTCACATGGCTAGTCGAGTGGACCCTAGAAGAATAACAAGATCGGCAACGGCGGCGATGGCAGCGACTAAAGCACAGACAGAGGCAACGGCTAGGGTCCACTCGACTAGCCATGTGAAATCGGATGTGTCCACCGCACATGCTGATTGTTCTGATGTTAGTTCTGATAAGTATGAGTCGTCCATTGCTAGTCATTTGTTTGAGCATCCTGATTGTCGTGCTGTGTATTCGGATGATTGTTTTTCGATTGTGTCACGTGTACGCAGTGCTAGATTGCTGAATGTTTTGGAAGCTGTATACATTCACACAAGGAAACCCAACCTTTGCAAGCAGAAACAAATCAAATTCACACTTAGGCTGTTAGGTAGGTCGTCAAAACCTCGTTAGTTACATGTATGTCCAGTGGTTGTCTCTTGTTGTCGCACTACATGTCGCGCTTATTGAGTTTTCTCGCATTTGCACCTTTGTGTCATTATTGCAATCTTCGCTGTTTACTTTAGCTATCTTCTTTCTTTCTTTCTTTCTTTTTGCGCTGTTTTACCACCTTCTTACTGTATTTAAGGTACTAGTACTCCTTTGTAGGGTCAAAAATCGAAGTTTAGAAATCGGCTTTTTTGACTCTTTCAGTGGACGCACAAGGCCCTGAACCTGTGGAATCCAAAATTTGAGGCGAATCGGCACAGTCTTTGCAGAGTTACAGGCCAGTGAAGTGCGTGGGTATGTACGATGTACGCACTGCAGCGTGACCATGCTAGCTGTCAGAAGAGCAAAAATGAGTACTCATGCCACGTGGCAAAAATTCAAATATTCGTTACCATGACTGCACAAAATGGCGACCCAGCGTAAAAACTGGGTTCCCTTGCGCTTTTTGCATCACAAACAGCAACTATTCTGCACTCGCTGATCGAGCTTGAAGATGGGAAACAAAAAAATGGAAAGGTAGATACTACGTTGCCAAAAAGAAGAAATATTATGGAAAGAAGCCTGAAACAGCTCCCGATCCTAACCCTGTTCCTGTGGAAGCGGAGCCAGAAGATATTGGACGTAGCTCTTCATTTGCAAAGCTCGTCGGCTGCAAACCCTGGTGGGAGCAGGAGACATCAGACAGCGATGGCGATGTTGGAACGGAGTCTGATACCTCACTGACCTCGAACCCAGACACGAGTGACAGCAGTGATGACAGTGATTGTTTCGAGGCTGATGAGCCCCATACTGGTGCGGGAAACGTATTTTCGACTTGGAGCAGCTGCAGGAGATTCTGCTGAAATGTGTGTGCAGTTTGTAAAGTTGGCGGTATCATTTTGGAAAAGGAGAGACAGCAAGGCTTAGGATCACACATGGTCATATCCTGTTCATCAGAATCATGTCCTGGTGCTAATGTCAAGTTTTCATCGTCCATAAGAACAAGATTTTTTGACGTCAACCGATGCTCCGTTTTAGCTGCCAGGCCCATTGGCCGAGGACACTCTGGTCTCCAGAAATTCTGTGCCATTATGGACCTCCCCAAGCCTGTCAACAAGACGAACTTCCAGAAACACCAACAAGCTGCAATTGAGGCTGCACACACGGTTGGCGAGAAAAGCCGCAACTACGCTGCCCAGCAGCTGTTAGCAGAAAATCCCGAAGCCAGAGGCCATCTACAAGTTGCTGGTGCCTGTTTACCGAAGACTGGCAGACCAGGCACTTCTGAAACGGTGCTTGCTTGGTGCCACACAAAATGCCAAAGAAGCATTCAATGGTGTCGTGTGGCGCATGTGCCCGAAGGAAGTCAATGCAGGTCGCTGTTTGGTGGAGCTCGCTGCAAATCTTGCTACATGCACTTTCAATGATGGTGCCATGAGCCCTTGTCAAGTTCTTAAGAGAAATGTCGTGTTCTGTTGGCCATAACACCATCAAGGCACTGAAGAAGGAGGATACGGACCGCATTGCACATGCCGAAGTGGCCAGTTCAGCATTGCAAAAAAGCACAAGAAAGAAGAGGAGAAGAAAGAAAAAGGGCTGGGAAGAGCAAAGAACAGAGCAAGAAGGTGTCACATATGAGGCTGGCGGATTTTAGCTTGGTTTGGTGAGGTTTTGTTGCTGACATTACAGCTTATGCCTGCATTTTTGTCTGTTTTGGACCCCTTTTTTTCACTGTTTTTAGCCTACTGCGAGTGTGTTTTCTGAAGTTTTCTCTTGGATAAAGTGTCTGGACACCCCCCAAAGTATACATTTTTGGAAAGGTGATGCCCAGGCCTAGGGCACCTGGGTGTTTTCAAGAGCAACACTTTAACTAGAACAATCTTTGCCCTCTCTCAAATGTTGCAACACGGTCGCGTATTATATACGTTGTTTTATAAGGTGTATTGTGCGTCCTTTGTTCCTTTGGATGGACTTCTGCTGACCCAGGTGCCCTTCCCCAGACCTAGATGGTTTGGATCCAACAAATTTGGACCCATCAAATAGTCTTTTCCTGGACATTTTTTTAAGAAAATGTGTAGCCCGTCATATCGACAGAATGTGTACATTCTGATTTACATTTTCCAAGGATCTCGCAAAGCATGACAATATATTTTCTGCTGCTGCAATCACTACCCTTTCATCTGTGTGTGGAGAAAATTTGGAGTGATTTGCTTGTGTGGGACCAAAGTAATGCCTCTTCTTGTGCGGTCGGCCCAGATACAGCCGCGAAAAGAGTACTAGTACCTTAATCCACTGTTCCTGTTCCTTTTCCCTTGCCTGTATTTCACCTGATGAGAAGGCTTGAAAGTATACTTGTGAAGACAAAAACTTTCAAGATGTTTGTAATGAGCCTGAAGTGTGTCCTTTTTATGAGTAAGAGTTGAACGTGTCATATTTGCACAAAATCCCACTGAGCGGGCACAAAGTTTAACGACTTCGCCATCACATATGCAGTATGTCTTTTATTTCTCTAGTACAGATGAGTACTATCACAGGGTAGTGGTGGAGGTGATAGTCAACAGTACAGATGAGAGTAGGAATAACATACATTTCTTGAGCTAACGATGGATTCCTTTTCGTTAAAACATTTTAAAAGACGTTGCCCCCGGTTATAAAGATTCACCTCTTACAGTATCGCAAACTCCCCTAATCCAGACTCTCCGTATTCGGGCACTATCGTCTACCAGCGCACCTTTCTGACCCTCCCCAGCTCACAAACATGAAATAACAACGAGAAACAGCACCAGAAAAAATAGTAATTGTCATAACAACTTTAAAAAAAAGTTCGTACTTGCATGCAGCTGCAGTATGTACTCGTACATTCCGAGTTGTCACTACACATAGTTGTCCTAAGCTAGGTTACCATGGTTACGGGCAATTCGTAGCTACGGGCAGTGGCCGGTCCTAACGTGCACTGATGAGGGGAGTTCTACGTCTTTACTACACACAAAACTGAGGCATGTGCGAGCAATAAGCCTCGGACCCATGTACAGGCCGCACCGCTATTGCGTGAAATTTCCACAGGACAAAAAGAATAACACGCACACGAGACTGTCATTCAAGATTTATTGTATAACCCCACCAAAGAGCAGTTTGAGCAAACTTCCACAGAGGTGGTCTGGTGTCAGAAAAGTATGACTTCAGATAAAAACAGATATGCCGCACAACTTGAACTTTACTTGCAAGTTCGATCCCATACCTCAAGTCAACTGATGCCTGCTGTAAAATACTCTGCATCTGCACAGGACTTTAGACCTGGGGTGGAATCATGCTGCTTCCGGACTAGATGTCTTATAAAGATATTTTATCTAGTATAAAACAGGGTAAGAGGTGGCTGGCAGGGCCGTTGCCAACTTGAGGTAAGAGACAGTGTGGCCGTGTTCAGCGGCTTGGTACAACAAGACGACAGTCGGAAGCAGGAATTACGCCTGCAAAGCACCTCCAGGCAGCGCCCCGGCAACGTGTGGAGCAACGCAGCGCATGCTGGCAGGACGACACCAGCCCTCAGCTAGTACTGTAATCATAACCAATCCAAAAAACAAAGAAACAGAAACGTGGCAGCATACCAAAAATCAGACACCTTCTGCAACTGCAACTGAGTATTTTTGTTGTTGTGCTTGTACCTGTCATACCTGTCAGTAAAACATCCGGGCACGCTCACCAAAGGCGTCCGTTCTAAACCTATCCCTAGCCATGCCGCGTTGTAAGAACAGTGAAACCTTAGAAATACGGACAACCAAGGCACCAGCCCAATCCATCTTCAATTCAAAAGTGCCCTCTTCATTCGGGATATTGAGGTTTGCAAACGTGCACTTCTAGGACACTGGCAAAGGCTGTCATGAGTCGATCCGCTCCAGGTACCTGTGCTTCTTGCAGCGTGTCCTTTCACGACTGGCTGCTGCTCCACGCAGCAGTGGAACTTCAGGACTGGCTGCTGCTCCACGCGGCAGTGGAACTTCAGGACTGGCTGCTGCTCCACGCAGCAGTGGAACTTCAGGACTGGCTGCTGCTCCACGCGGCAGTGGAACTTCAGGACTGGCTGCTGCTCCACGCAGCAGTGGAACTTCAGGACTGGCTGCTGCTCCACGCGGCAGTGGAACTTCAGGACTGGCTGCTGCTCCACGCAGCAGTGGAACTTCAGGACTGGCTGCTGCTCTACGCAGCAGTGGAACTTCAGCTACACGTACAGGGTGATCACTGATCAGACAATAATGCCTCGTGTGTGCAACTGCACATTGCTGCCAATGGGCGGGGTTTCAACAGTGTTGTCTTATAGCGAGCTGTATCTACTATCAGGACTTGCACATGTTCTGCCGTTTTACATCACCCCCCCCCCCCCCCCCCCCCCCCCCCCGCCCGCCGACAACACTGTACAAGACAACCTGTTATAATTTATAAGGCAATTTTTCCATCTTACCTCCTATACAAGACATGAAACATCGATCGAGCTAGCCCAGGCCATTTGTATTGTCTTGTAATGAGGGAATTTAACCAGTGGGACAGCTGAAGGTGACCTTGTAAAGGATTTTGTCTACAAACGAATTATCTCTTATCCGGACTCGCATGCACGACTGCTAAATGCATTTCGTCAGGGGATTTCGGATCGTTGTCTACTAATGAGGTTTGGCTTGTAGCCAGCGATGTCATACTAACGAGGGTATACCTGTACACAGCGAGTCATTCATGTGCATGGACATGTTAAAGTGGGATTCATTTATGACTGTGACGTAAGTTAGTGCAGATGAACGTAGGAATCTCCCAAACACAAGTAATAGACCGCTCGGTATTTACTGTACAAAAACCAGGAAAAACTGTGAAGGTGTATGCCAGTCATCTACATTCTGCCTTGATGGCGGGTTCCCTTCAACGTACAGTCGAGTCGGAAAGCGGCTTTTGACCTTCCCACACTGGTTGCGACATTGGTGGCATGGATTGGCTGGGCTGGGTTGGAAACGCTGGCACTCGGCGTGGAAGGATGTCGACGACATCGTTCGGCGTCTCGGCTTGTTTCTGAAAATGTCCACCCAGCAGTACGCAACGCGAAAACACACACATAATCAGACTCTACTGGAATGGCCTTCGACAGCTGTGCCATGTGCATTAGTACCCAGGGAGAAAGTGAGTCATGATAATAATTATGATCACAGTCAAGTGTTTTCATGAGCTTTAGTGTATTACAATAATGTATATATGTTTTGTGAGTCGTACATAATGCACAGGGCTAAGTGAAGCAGCCACTGAAGAACTTCTTTTTCAATATTAAAATCTTTCCGGCTGATGAATACCGGCATTCTTCATAATTTCTACACAGGATGTGTACGCGCATGCACACGGCTGCTTCTGCTGTTGGTGATGAAAGCGGAACACTGCAATTATCTACCACTGAACAAATCAGTCCCCCCCCCCCCCCCCCACACACACACATACACACAGTTATGTTATCCGACAGCCGAGGGCTATTCATTGCGTACGTCTTAGAATTTGCTAGCAAAGAAATAGGAAACCTAACTATGATGATCTGTTAGGATCGTACGGCTTGCAAGAGACCAACGGGGAAACGACACAAATCCATGAAAGCAACAGGAAAATGATGTACCATACCGTAGCGAGCTCCTCGTCAAACTCCAGGTGGCCCATGCCGTCAAAGGTGTTCAAGTCCAACACCACGAGCAGAGAGCAGCATACGCCATTCAGAATCATCGGGCTGCGCAAGTGAACCTGAACAACAGAACGACACAGATGAGTCGCGTGTGTAGTCACGGATTAGCCATACTCCTGCAGTCATTTGTGGTTGGGTGAAATGTGCTTGACAACGATGACAGCAGGCGATCTACCCAGGTTAGACCTCGTCCAAGTGCAGCACAGTCGCCGTCGTCAATCGACGGCCATCACTTCAGAGAAACGTTGCTTTCCTAGACATAATCTATGGGTGTTTTAAATTACTTTCTACATAGTCATGCCGTCACTTTCTATATAGTCATGCCGTCACTTTCTACATAGTCATGCCATCACACTATCTACATAGTCATGCCGTCACACTATCTACATAGTCATGCCGTCACACTATCTACATAGTCATGCCGTCACTTTCTACATAGTCATGCCGTCACACTATCTACATAGTCATGCCGTCACACTATCTACATAGTCATGCCGTCACACTTTCTACATAGTCATGCCGTCACACTTTCTACATAGTCATGCCGTCACTTTCTACATAGTCATGCCGTCACACTATCTCAGTAGCCTTGCTCTGTCCAAGCATCACAACAAAATGCACAATGTCCTGCTTCATTGTTCAATGCCGTTACTATTCCTGTTACTAGTGCTCAACGAGAGAGCTTGGAAGCTCAGGGCCCTACGCTATGCTTTTTTTGCCTTGATGACCTAGACAAAAAAAAGCATAGGGATGTTATAAATTCTTTTAAAAAATCATTTTTTTAAAGACATAACCTGGGATTCGAACCCGCACTATCGCGCGCCCTTCATACATCCCCGATACACTTCGCATACATTTGTTTGTTTGTGTCACCTCTGGCGTTATCCGTATCTACCGGCAAAAAAAGCATAGGATGTTATAAATTTTTCAATTCTCCTATTTTTTTCCAGGCATATCCTGGGATTCGAACCCGCACTATCGCCCTACATGCATTCCCCCATACACTTCGCATTCATACCCATTCTTCCAAGTTGTTTCACATTGTGATCTTGCATTTGAAAGCCCTATTTGAATATGCATTGTGGCCAGCCGTCTTTGATGGCACGGTACGGTAGGGGATAGGTACGGGACAGGTACGATCGAGGGTAATACGACACCGTCTCCCGTACCGTACCATCAAACACAGCTGGCCACATACAGCTGCCCGCAATATTCAAATAGGGCTTTCAAACGCAAGATAATAACGTGAAGCAACTTGGAAGAATGGGTATGAATGCGAAGTGTATGGGGGAATGCATGTAGGGCGATAGTGCGGGTTCGGATCCCAGGATATGCCTGAAAAAAAATAGGAGAATTGAAAAAATTATAACATCCTATGCTTTTTTGCCGTCAGATACGGATAGCGCCAGGCGTGACACAAACACACAAACAAACAAATACCAAATTAAAGCTGTGTGGACCCTGGCTAGCGCCAGACGTTACTGAAGTAACGTCTTCTGCATAGCTACGGGAATAATAATAATAATAATACCACAGCACGCGTACAAAGGCCAAAGAACAATGCATGAGAATACACTGAAATTAAGCCAAGTCCGCTTCTGTCTCCAGTCAACAAAAAACTCATTCATAAACAATGTCTGATCTCCATTTCGACTTGTCTGCAGCAGCAAATGCAGACTAGTGCTCAATAGTAACAGGAAAACAAGATGCTGATCATCGCCAATGCTTACGATCATGAACGGGTCGAAAAGTTGAGCCTCTCCAGAATTGTTTTTTAGCAATCTAGTGAGGAATGCACTTCCAATACTACTTTGAAGTACATCTTTGAGAAGTCTTTATTCAGCACGTGGACACAAATATATGCAGGTAAAGAGTCTCGAAGTCCACTGACACAAAGTCTTCTTTACAGTGAAACCTCGTTAAGAAGAGCACCGATAAGACAAACTTTCGCTTTAGAAGAACTAGTATTCATAACTATATTGCAGAAAACACTGTGTATTCACTGGGTATAAAATATGGATAAGAAGAACTCTCGTTATTGCAAACAAATACCACTGGTCCCTTAGTGTTCGTCCTAAAGAGGTTTGACTGTACTTCGAAGTGCATGCTTGTTCAAAATCAGCCGATGATCACTAAGTCCAGCCCAGCCAACCGTTGAGTTCATTGGCTCGGTTGCCGAATGCTAAAACTACTTCTCTGGAAAAGTTTACATGACTACTTGTCCAGATCCCATTTCCATCCGAATTAGAGTAAGATTTGCTAGCCTAACCCGACCTAAATGGGTTTGGAAAATCCCCAAACTCACTAACATAAGATTAGTAATATCTGAATGACCTGTACTGTACTAAGTTATCACAATCAATCAGGCAAGTCAAAGGTGCTGCCAGGAATAAAAGAAAAGGAGTCCCGATGAGCCAAGACCATACCTTATCAGGTTCTCTGTCGAAGTCGGCGTATTCACTGGACGGTGCGGTGGCATTTTTAGCCATGGGAAAGCGGAGCGGTAGGTTTGTTCCACATGCTTTGAATGCCTAGCCAAGATGGGAAAAGTCAACAAGTCACAGCGTACGTCGTTCTACTTGCCAATTGCACCTACCACACTAAGCTATGACAAAATAGTACATGATGCATACGCTAATGCATAAGCACATGTATGGTTGCCTTGCACATCACATGATGGCGTTTAGTAAGATTTTACCCCTGTTACGTTATAGATGGATCTATGATTGAGCATGGCGACCTGCATTGATCTAGTATGCACGCTTTTTTTCTTTGTCCCAGTTGTGTTTTTCTCCCTCCCTCCCTCCCTCCCTCCCTCCCTCCCTCCCTCCCTCCCTCCCTCCCTCCCTCCCTCCCTCCCTCCCTCCCTCCCTCCCTCCCTCCCTCCCTCCCTCCCTCCCTCCCTCCCTCCCTCCCTCCCTCTCTCTCTCTCTCTCTCTCTCTCTCTCTCTCTCTCTCTCTCTCTCTCTCTCTCTCTCTCTCTCTCTCTCTCTCTCTCTCTGAGTCGGTGTGTCTTATTGTAAGCTGTACAAGCTGATGTATTTGTAGCATTTTCTGGTTAGACAGTTATTAGCTGATATGTTCTATCATTACTTTGCAACGACACTGATTGCGGGTCGCATTTTACCTCCAGCCATCCTCCATCATTAATCATGCATCTTCGCACTCAGTCCGCAAATATTCTGAAGCTAACCAGTTTGCCTTCTGGCATTTGGTGTGTGGGAGCAGCATGCGGGGTTGGTGTGTGGGAGTAGCATGCGGTTGGTGTGTGGGGGCAGCATGCGGTTGGTGTGTGGGGGCAGCATGCGGTTGGTGTGTGGGGGCAGCATGCGGTTGGTGTGTGGGGGCAGCATGCAGTTGGTGTGTGGGGGCAGCATGCGGTTGGTGTGTGGGAGCAGCATGCGGTTGGTGTGTGTGGGGACAGCATGCGGTTGGTGTGTGGGGGCAGCATGCGGTTGGTGTGTGGGGGCAGCATGCGGTTGGTGTGTGGGGGCAGCATGCAGTTGGTGTGTGGGGGCAGCATGCGGTTGGTGTGTGGGAGCAGCATGCGGTTAGTGTGTGGGCCCATACATTGGGCTTCTACACGCGGCTGTACTCATGACGTGCCCAGGTGGGTGAGGGACGTGTTTTTCGAATGTTTTGCTGCAGGCTCAAATTATTCAGCAAGAAGACAGTAGCTTTTGTTTGGTGTGTCACTTGCCGTGGTTGAACCGTTTTCAGACGTCCAAAGTTCTGGAGGAACTTTTCAATCGTGTTTTTCAGTACTTTTTTCTAGTTGCTCGGCGGGGAAATGCTCATATTCGTGTAGAGTACCCTCAAATTTAGTATGATCGAGTCGTCCTGCAACTTCAGGAGGCAGCAAAAGCCTGCCAAATTACCTGAACGATGGCAAGTGACACAGAAATGGAGACAGGTGACAGCAGCGAGGACGTAGTTGGAGATCTGTGTAAAGTGCTGGGTTTGACTCAGAGGTCGCTGCTAAGTTCAGTGGAAAATGACGATGCATTTAGGTCGCTGAAGTGTAGTGCTGAGAGATAGTCCAATGGTCAATGGTCTTGGGTTGGAGCTTTTCCGATTGAAAGGAATGGAGAAATTGACGTTCAAGGCTTTCACAACATGGCTGGAAGGGATATCCGGGAGAGAACGTTCGACTTAAAATTTGAAGGCAGTGTCTGGCAAAGTGAACAGACTGAAAGACAGACGTACCTACCTCCTGAAAGCAAACAAAGAGCAGTGGCATTTGCTTTCTGAGCAGGTATTTTTTCTTCCAGCTGGAGAAGAAGCAAGTTCCGGGTCCAGAGCAGGATCAAGCAGCGAAGCTGAGAGCAAATCCACCATGTCCAGATGTGACCAGGCCACTGTAGAGATGATGACTGCTGAACTAGTGTCCATGGAAGGAGAACTTGCTGCTGTGAACAAAAGGAAAGATGCTCTGGAGGAGACTGTGAAAAGGCAGCGGGATAAGATCAGGAATGCCACAAAGAAGGTGAAGCGCCGAAACAGTGCCCTTGCAGAGGCCCAGGATAATGAGGAGAATATGGAGTTTTGGATCTGAAGCGCAAGCTTACAAATGAGCAGCACCGTGTTTATTACTACCAAAAGCAGCTGTCAGTCAAGAACGAGAAAATGAGGGTGCTTGAATGTTGCCTGGCGGAAGTTCACCGATTGCTCTCTGCGGCTCAGAGCAAGATTTCTTCTCTTGAGGCTGGCCTGCTGGATGCGCATGAAGAAATGGAAGACTGTGGTACAGACGTGCAGACGATGGATGGTGAGAAATATCGAGATACTGTGAGGGAGTGCTGTCTAGGCTTACTGGCGATGCGGAATGTGGGAGTAAGGCATGTCGGTCCAGTTATCCAAACCATACTGAAAATTGCATCACGGTATATAACTGCTCCTTTGCAAACTTGCACACCATTGCATACCTGATGAGGGCAATTTTGCCGAAACGTAAAAAAAATTGATTGAGAAATGAGTTCGAGTTTGCAGAGTGAATGGGAAGAGAGCGAGTCTGCTTCTGAAACCATTTTTTTCTATACTGAAAATGGTCGGTAAATCAGCTGATCCCCTTCCAAGTGCCGGGCTACTCTCCAAAATGCTTGTAGAGCTCAAGCAAATCAGTTCAATGCAAATTGGCGAGTCCCTGATGGAAGCATCTAGCACCACCCTCCACAGCGATGGCACAAGTAAGGGTGGCTTCAAGTTCGGCAGCTACAAAGTGGCACTGTGACGAACTGCCACAGAAGTGCTGACTCTGGGAATTGTGGACATGAAGTGTGGTAGTGCAGACCATGTGTTGGACAAGCTGAAGCACGTACTGGGAGACGTCGCGAGTGCTTGCAGTGGCGACGGCAAAGAACAAATTGCAGAGAAGATCTTGAAAGGCATCACCAATACCATGAGTGACTGCTGCATAGTGCAGAAGAAATTCAACGAACTGCTTCAGAAATACCGTGCTGGCGTATTGCCAAGTGTTGTTGGTGGATGGGAGGATTCGACATCGGAGCAGCAGAGCAAGTTAACAACAATGAGCAACTATTTCTGCGGACTCCACTATATAGCTGGATTAGCGGACCAAGCCCAAGAGTGCCTGAAGAAGTGGAAAGAGGTCCATTTTTAAGGCAAGGCATTTGGGGCCACAGAGCTGGCACAGGTGTTTGACACGACCGAGTCTAGAGTGATCCGCATGCTTCGCACCACTGCCAACGCCTTTGAAAAGCATGGCAACGATCAGGCCAGCTGCACGGCTGACTTCAATGTTTACAATTACATGGAGGAGACTGGCATTCCTGTCCCACTTGCCGAGCTACGTGGTAACCGCAGCTATGTTTGCTTCTACAACGGCGCCGGTGTGTGCTATTTACAAGAGACCCTTCTCCACTTCCTCCGGGATATCCATGGCGATACCAATCTGATGTTGAAAGCTGTCAAGGCCGATCTGTCCGTAGATAAGCTCTGTGCAGGCGCCAGAGCACTTGGTTTACTATCGAAGCTTGTTATCACCCCCCCCCCCCCCCCCCCATGGAAAGCTCTCGAGGACGCAACATTATCCATTTTCGACATGTCGACACGGTACACAGAGCTGTACAGACATTTTGTCGAGTGGTCGGAAGATGCCTCGCCGCTGCTTGATGGTACAGCTCGCCCGTTTGCCAGTGCCATTCCCAACCTGCTTGATGTCGTCATGACCCGATTGCTTGAGCCAGATGAGAGCGATGCCGTCACCCAGGAAATCCTTCAGGTACTGTGTGCGGCATATGCGGTGTACTCTGCACGGCTTCTTGCAGATCACTTGTCAGACGGGAAATTACATGATCCATCCGATGATGTCAGGCAGCAGAGTCAATCAGTTGCAAGTACGAATGCTGTGCCACGGTCTGAGAGGGATTTCGCTCAGCTTGACCGTATGATCAGGGAAAAGCCATGTGCTCACACCGTCGCCCTGGAGGGCATGATTATGTTCACGAACAACAAAACAGCAGTTTGGCTGTCAGCAAAAAGTGAAGAGGACCGAGCTGCTATCCTTGCCTCAGCTCGCCAGTCGACTCCAGCTGTTCAGGCTCCAGCTGTTCAGGACCTGTACGAGAAATGCTGCCAAGAGATCAGAGACCACCGAATGAAACTGAGTCCTGAAAGACAAGGAGGAGGAGATAGCCAAGAAGAAGGCAAGAGACACACGCCAGAAAGAAGACCTTACCCGAGATGTCCACAAGTACGGCGGTCTTTGGGGTTCTACTGCTGAGGTGTATGCTGGTGTGGCAGCCCTCCGCACTGTTGCTGAAAAACGAAGTGCGCTGAGGGCACAGCTTCTGTTCCGTAAAACTTTGCTGCACCAAAATGCACCAGCTGCCACATTCTCCCTCTTGAAGGATGGGTGGCCGCACCCTGTGGAGAAGCTGGTGGACAACCTGAAGTCCCTGCTACCTGCCACAGTATTGGCATCTGGAGTCACCGATTCGGCCACCACAGATTCCGCCACCGCAACTGGGCCGGCAAGGTCTTTACCGTGGCACCCAGCATCACTGATTCTGACCCGCCGAACCTTGGGGAGTTGGAGCCAGCTCAAAAGCGCGCACCAAGTGTTGCACCATAAAAACCTGACTTACTCCATTTTCAGGAGTTACATGGTCGTCTATAACATGGCCATCTTCACCACCAGACACGGCGTCGCAAACTCTAACACTGCTGTAAAACATAGAACTCTTGTTTTTGTCTTGGTTGCGCTCACCTTCCCCTCCTATATTTTCATACCACTTAGAACCTTCCAAGTTGGAAGGCTGTTGTAGTGCGCACCCAAGACGTGCTAGAGCTCGGATAGCCAGTTAGTTGTAGAACGTCTGTACTGCCGGTCAGTTTTGTTCAATGCTATCGCATGAGTTGATTGTCAAGTAATTGGTAGTGTTAGTGGACATTATTCCCGTAGCTATGCAGAAGACGTTACTTCAGTAACGTCTGGCGCTAGCCAGGGTCCACACAGCTTTAATTTGTGTTTGTTTGTTTGTGTGTTTGTGTCACGCCTGGCGCTATCCCGTATCTGTCCCGTACCGTACCGTACCATCAAACACAGCTGGCCACATACAGCTGGCTGCAATATTCAAATAGGGCTTTCAAACGCAAGATCATAACGTGTAGCAACTTGGAAGAATGAGTATGAATGCGAAGTGTATGGGGGAATGCATGTAGGGCGATAGTGCGGGTTCGAATCCCAGGTAATGCCTGAAAAAATAGGAGAATTGAAAAATTTAGACCATCCCATTTCTTTTTTTGCCGTCATCAAGGCGGTAGACGGTGTCGTATTACCCTCGACCGTACCTGTCCCGTACCTGTCCCGTACATGTCCCGTACCTATCCCGTACTGTACAATCAAAGACGGCTGGCCACAATGCATATTCAAATAGGGCTTTCAAATACAAGATCATAACATGAAGCAACTTGGAAGAATTAGTATGTATGCGAAGTGTATCGGGGGATGCATGCAGGGCGATAGTGCGGGTTCGAATCCCAGGTTATGTCTAAAAACAAAAAGTTGAAACTAATAAGAATTTATAACATCTCTATGCTTTTTTTGTCTAGGTCATGAAGGCAAAAAAGCATAGCGTAGGGCCCTGAGCTTCCAAGCTCGCTCGTTATAATGTAACTTGTAGTTCCTTGGTCCTTTTCTTTACTATAAATTAATCAGTATCTCCATCCGAGTCTATTCTAAAGATGCGTTCGAATTTTCTCTAGCTTCTCGGAGAAATGTATCCCCTGGATACAGGTCTGAAAGAATTCGGTGATTTTTCGCGCGTCAGAGGATCTTGAGTGACTCGACCGCATGACTCATTGTAAGTGTTAGGAACCTCCTCCCGTATAAGCTTACCTACAACCTTTCCCACGCTGGCCTGCATGCACCCAGTATAAAGTCGTGTTGTAACTCGCTTTTCTCTACCTGCTCCCAGTCCCGTGCCATCTCCAAGCGCTTATACAAATGGACGACGATAACTACATTTAGAAGACTATATTTGTGACAAGACGACGGAACCACAACTATACATGACGAACTCAAGACGAAGACATGATGAACTCAAGACGAAGACATGATGAACTCAAGACGAAGACATGGTGAACTCAAGACGAAGACAGCTTTTCATACCACAGCAACACGCGCATGCACCAACATGACGTACACACGACGTACACAAAATAACGTACTACAACAGTCGTACTCACTTTTTGTTCCGTTGGCCTGGGTAGCTACTTGCGCCCATATTTGCCATAGCTACCCAGGCCCTTTATCTTGCATTCGCCCTCAGTCACTCTCGCTCTCTCTTCCATAATGTAGTCGTTTCGTTCGTCTTTGTCTCGGTCTCTTCGTCTCCCATTATAAATGTCTTTCCTCTTTCCCCCTAACCGTTCCTGTGTCCGTTGTGTCTGGGAGGATAACACCATTCTGCATCCCAACAATGGCGCCCCACTTTCCGCTCAACCCACGACCCTGAATTCATCGTCCCAGTCGTCCTCAACTGCCATTCGTCTGAGCGAAAAAGAAAAAAAGACCAGCCATGCGCTCATGATCAACACGTGGCTTTTCGCAGCAGTTTGCATGCGCTGACCACAAAATGCGGGAATCTCGAAGTTTCAAACATCTTTGAAGCTAGGGGAGCTTGGAGAGCTTTGGAGAATCTCCTGAAACTCAGAGAGGATTTTAGAACACTTCTCCAACTTTCCACCGAGTCTCGTACTTTTCCGAAAGGATTGTGAACTCGGGTATTTCATCCAACACATACATCATCACATTTGTGCATATTACCATATGTTGGTGCTTCATGGCTCATACAACAATGCCAGAGGGTGCAAAGCGAAGAATACACGTGCCCCAAACAACAACTGAACCGATCGGGACTCACAATGTGCGAAGTAGAGTCCCTTAGCTCTTTCTTGAGATGCGCAATGCGCTCCTCCTTGGGGCCGTCCACCGTTTCTTTTCTCAGCACATATTTCACCTAATCCACAGCAAATGTAACAATAGATGCAAACACATACCATAATTAACAATACTCGATAAACTCAGATACTAACAATGACTTTAAAAGAGAAGAAGGGTGTAAAACCAGTTGTCGGGCTCGGCAAAAACCGACCCCGGAAAATACACATTTGGCACCCAGCACTTACACAGCCCTTGACGCGAATTCTGTGCACAACGTAGCATCTTTTATTCAAACTCTTTCTGTGCAGAAAGAGTTACACGCACAGGCTATCTCGGCACAAAGTGAACGTGATGCAATAAAATACATGTATTATGGCATTTCAGATCATATGTGCGGGGCCACTATCTGACGGCCATACTAGCGTGGATAACTACTTCAGACGCACACATATACACACCATACACACACACACACACACACACACACACACACACACACACACACACACACACACACACACAAACGGACGCCTTTGGCAGCATTCCGGAATGACATATGGCAATTAGTAGCCCGGTACAACAGACATCATAGAACTACCAAAGTATATGATCTCCAGTACTTCTAATCACCGAGGAGACAACAACCGTAAAATTGCAATGAATAGAACCAACCATGCAGTCGAAACAATGTAAAAATACTAGCTTCCAAAATGTTTTTGTGTGACACTCTTCAGTGGAAACTTGCTGTGCAATAACCAGAACAACCAATATATTCGGTTGCTCCTCCTATGAAGTATAGCGAAATCAGGATGTACAAGCAGTGCAACGCACAGCCAGCCAGTAACGTACTGTAGGTAGTGTGAAAGATGCAGTAAAACCTATCAAGGCGACCACTCGGATAAGGCGACGACCACCTGCCCCAGAAGACCACTGCAACCAGCAGAGGACCAAGATATGCTATTTCCAGTCAAACGACCCCGGCTGGATAAGGAGACCACCTGGTAACAGAGACCACGTTTTGAAGGTCTCTTGAGCGGTCGTCTTAGACAGCCGTTTCACTGTACTGATACTTGTGGATGGGCATGCAAGTGTAAGAACTGTGTGAATGAACATGATGGCCCGGTGTGTGCCTACTACATAAAGAGTGTGAGAGCATTTAATTTCATTACTACCTTTCACAACCTACAGTAGGTTATTGGCTGATTTCGAGTTGCGCTGTGTGTACCTCCAGATTTCGCTATAATTATTTGTTACTCTGGGTACACAAAGAACTCCCAATGTTTTCGACTACGAGTAAACGAATGTTGGTTGGTTCGGTTATTATTCCTCAATGCATAGTAAAGAAAAAAAGGACTAAGAAACTACAAGTTACTCTATATTCACGGTCCACTAACACCGGCACCAGTTACTAAACAATCAGCTCATGCGATTGCGTTACTTGTAGTTTCTTGGTCCTTTTTTCTTTACTATAAATTTATCCTTAGCTCTCCATCCGAGTCCATTCCTCAATGCGTGACTTACATGTATTTCAACTGAGGAGTGCCACATGAAAACGTCACAAGTTTGGAGCATTTTTTACTGCAAAACTTAATTTGTTTTATTCATTGCTATCAATTATGATTTCCGATTCCTATTACGAATTACAGAGCGGTTGTTAGCGCACACTCGATATCAATGAATGTACCACTAGTGCACATATCCGAGGATATCAATCAAAACACATGGTTATTGCTTAGCCGTAGTACATGAAAGTAAAGTACAGCTTTTATAGTACTCAATGATTTTCAGTTCACAGAACATAATAATAATTGTAGTACTCAATGATTTTCAGTTCACAGAATACATTGTACTAGCGGCGGTGGCGGCGGCGTGCGATACGTACCTCGGTGTCTTTGTGAAATTTGGTGAAGAAGTCCTCTTCGAACTTGTTCTTCTGGTCCTCGTGCACTTTCGGCATAGTGCAGCGTGCTCCAGTAGGCCGTGCGCTCGATCGTAAGTCTCCGACTGTAAGTTAGTTGAATCCTGGAATAAACTGATTCGCGGACCACCGGCGCCCCGCTAATGTAGCACCGGAAATAGTATGAAAGTAAGTTAGCAGAAAATAGCGCACCGGTGAAGAAAGAATCTATCGAGCTTTACTTCAATGAAACTCAGGCTCAGGAAGTAACGATTAACGTTAGTTCAAACTACAGTCCGTACCAGTACCGAGCAGAAAGCAACGACTTGCAAAAGTAATAACCCCTGATAACAGTAACAACTACTGATGTTGCGTTGACGTGTTATCATTTTGGTTATGCTATCTCTGCAACAATAATCATTGTACTGACTGCATAGCTACTGACTGCATATGCGCATAGCTACTGTTAGCTGAATCACTACGTAGATCTACGCCTAGGCCTACGTAGCCGGCGTAGGTACAGGTATACCATTGTATACTACGTATGTAGGTAGTAGGTCAAGACGTCTACGGCAGCGTTTTGTACGGACAGTATTCAATGGTATTAGTAGATCATAGTAGATCATGGTGATCTACATGATCTACGATCTCTCTACAAAAGTACAAAAATTTAATAATCAATCATGTAAATCAATCATGTAAAAAAATAAAATAAAATAAAAATCAATCTGACATGTAGTCTACCACATGTGCACACTGTATATTTAAATATACTATAGTACTAGTGGGTAGTATAGTGTTCCGTTGAAGTGTGAATTCTTGAGTTCTTGGGCATTGCTGCTCCATCTACATACATGTAATGTCATTGTCTACTTATTTCAATTTTCCTATAAAGGCCATGGTAAAAAATATCTTTGATTCTCAAGTACTAGTACGCGCGCATCGATTTTTGGTGGCGCACCGACGATTTTTTTTTATTTCTATGCATGCATATGCGTGCATGAAAACGGTCAATGCGAAAGGCATGAATCCGGGAGTAGTAAAATACCGGTATTTTTCTACTCCCTGGCCTGAATAATAAAATAATTATAAATTAAATATGAACCTGTGACGTACACATGTGTGACCCTATCTTTGGAAATGGTATTGGTATGGTATTGATTTATTTGAATTCGGTATCTCAACAGTACATTGTACAACTTGGGAAGATCCGAATGACATAGATACATAAACATAAAAGTGGAGTAATAAAAAATTTGTGGGAATTAAAATAAAAAATCGCTCGCTCGCACTGATTTTCACAGGCTCATGACCTGAGAATCAACTTTATTTTTTACCATGGCCTAATAAAGATTGTGTCAAAGTAGTTCAAGTGTCATACGACATAGTCACCAGCATGCGCAGTCATCGACATAATTACAAAATGTAGTACGAGTCTCGTACTACTACTAGTAGGCACCGGGCAAATATGCTCGAAAAATCTCCCATCATGCTTTCTCGCAATTCTTTCAAACAAACCGATAATGCCTGAAACCATGCCGATAATTCCCAGAAATTCTCACCAATTTTCGCTTGAAATCCAGGTCTTTCTTCGCATCCAACACAAAAAGATGCATTCTCAAACATAAAGGAAACAAAAAATTATTCTTTTTCTGTTTTCTGGCTCTGGCAAGTTCAGATGCTTTGCTGGTTTCAGCTTGTCCAGCAGAGAAACCACCTTCTTGCTTTTCTCATCCCTTTCACTTTCAGCCTCCTCCTCATCCGCACTATCCACTCGACAAACGTCAGCGACAACCGATTATGCCCGCGAAATCACCGATTATGCTCGTGTGATTTTTGCACCCTAAAATGCTCGATTTAGTGCCGGCATATTTGCCGGGTCCCTAACTACTAGTACACCAATGTCCATTGTAGCCATAAGCACACGACACTAGTAAAATAAATAAAATAATAATACTATCTACTAATCTAAGGGTGCGTTCTTAAATTCTCCAGCTTCTAGAAGAAGAAGAAAAGAGAAGTCGAAGAAACTGGGATTCTTCAAGAACGGGTCTCGAAGAATTCGGAGATATTTTGCAGATGTCAAGCAAAATGGAGCGCCAAAGGGACCGTGATCTTGAGTGCCACGAAAATAGTATGCGCTGTGCGTATGCGAAAAGGGAAATGCGTACACTCATGATCAACACGTGGCTTTTAGCCTAGTTCGCATGCGCTGATCCGAAACCGCGGGAATCTCCGAGTTTCAACCACCTCTGAAGCTTGGAGAGCTTCGAGAGCTTTGGAGAGCCTCCTAAAATTCGGAGAGGATATAAGAACAGCTCTCGAACTTTTCGGAGAGTCTCCAACTTTTCCGAGAGGATTTAAGAACGCACCCTTAGTCTGCGTGGCCATCCTCTTTCCACCTAGTACTAGTAGTGGTACCAAGACTCTTGGCAAGAGTGCATAAACCTAGGCCTGTGGGACTACCCTATTCAAAATTTAATCATAATAATAATAAGTCTCTTTCCCTCAAACCAGTTAATAATAAATAATAATACCGTTTATTCTCTATTATAAGCACAGGTCTCCATTACTAGCACAGTCTCTAATACTAGCACACTATGAGTACCTTTCGAAACATTATAAGCACAGTCTCTATTATTAGCACGGTCTTGGTGGAATTCAATGCTGCATGCATGATATCCAGCATGTACATGTGTATTCCTTCTTGCTCTGTATGGATGTATTGGTTGAAAAAATATAAGCACGGTCTCCAATATAACTTATAACTTATAAGCGCGGTCTCCAATATAAGCACGGGGTAGAGGGGTGTTGAAAAAATATAAGCACCGCGCTTATAATAGAGGTTAAGTTACACGTGTTTTGCCCTTTTTCAAAACGCGGTGCAAATCTCACGTTACGTGTAATTTTTAGAGGTTAAGTTACACGTGCGACGTGACGTGAAATTTTGCCTGGCAGGATTCGGGTTTAGTTCGCACAAATATCAAATCTTCCAACAAACTCGATAAAACTCGATAAAATTCCGGAAACTCACACACATTCGGTCGGAATAACCAAGCGAAACTTCCAAAAACTCACGTCATGAACTTACGTGCGGGACAGTCAACTCACGTAAAACACGTCAAATTTTACGTGAGTTTTTTCACTTTTTGACGTAAAAGTTCACGGACGTAAGACTTTTACGTGAAACTTAACCTCTCTAGTATACGGTAACCTCTTGGTGGTACCTTGTACAGTCATGCTGATCTGATAATGATAGCTGCATTGTATCTTTCCTAGAATCCTAGCCTACATAGGCACTGCACGCTGCTTGGAGAATATTCGTTTACGTTCTAGTTTCTTGCGCCCATAATATACAATGGTCGGCTTAGAGCGCGAGGAGGAGGAGGAAGAGAGTTTATACGACGAAAGAAACCACAGCCGGGGCGGTAGCAACTACAGTGCTGGCAACTGAAATCCGACCCCCTCCCCCCCCCCCCCTAGCGGTGCGCTAGCCGCGTTAGCGATTCGTACGAGACGGTAGGGGCCAGGGGGTCGGATTTCAGTTGCCAGCACTGTACTCGTAGCTAGCAGGCACGTTGTGCATACGTCATCATCGTACATTATTTTTGCGACAATTAGTGTTTGCTTCAACTCAAACCGGAAAACAACCTCGCAGTCCTGGCCCGACCATCAAAAATAATGAAAGCTGCTTGGTGATAGTCAACATGAAGTGCATGTGAAGTTTCTTGTTGTTTCTCAAACTCAACGAAGAGAGAAATTCTTTTCGAGCAGCAATGGCATCGGTTATGGCTGCCATGCTCGATGAGCTGATGGGAAAAGATCGAGATCTTCTGCCGGACGAAAAACCCAAAGGTCCACATTGGGACGATGAAAGTGTGAGTTGATTTATTGCAAGTGTACCGCGGTGAATCTGATGGTGTTGCAGGTGAACACGTCCGCTGTGGCTCTAGGATGTACTAATAAAAGTATATACAGTGCATTAAAATGTGTAGGGAAACTCCTGACGAATGATACGAATGATGGTTAGCATATGGCCATATGGATGCACGGCCTTCGGGGTGTGAATTTAAAAAAAGAAAGAAAAAAGTACATATGCATCCTCGCATGAACGTATGAATATGACCGCCAACTACCTACTGTTGCATAATACAATGTAAATGTTGTTTTGTAAGACGACGTATGCATGTGTGTGTGTGTGTGTGTATGTGTGTGCGCGCGCGTGCGTGTGTGTGTGTGCTTGAGCTGAAAACATCCAAAGTGAAGCTCGAGCTTGCTGCTGACTTGGCCGACACTTGACTGACTCCCAACTGCCATCTAGAGCATAGTACACGAGGGAGCACATCGAGCCTTTCACTTGCCAGGCGAATACAAGTGCGATTTGAGATTTTTTGAAATATCTTTTTCAACGCATGATGGACGCTTCGTCCAACTTCGCAAAATATACGGGGGAGTTTGTACGTTCAAAAAACACTCCGTGTGGAAGTCCGCAGCAGTAGCAACAGATCCAAGAGCATCTGCTTTGAAGTGCACTGTAGCAGCGGTGAAAGTAGAGATGTCGTTGCTTGCCCGGAGCTAGCTGGCGAGAGGTTGGATAACAACAAGCTCCCTATTTTTTTTAATTGTTCATGCACAAAAATGATCGCAGATGTCATGTGGCATAGACGCGTGTTCAACGGGGCTTTCCCCATCTAATCCCTGGTCTACATCTGAAACACACTGTGGGAAGTACCGGCAAACGGCACACTTGTCCACATGGCATCTGTGGCGCACCTCTCTTTTGCTCCTGGAAGAAAGGAGGCATCGAAGTAGATAAAAGTTCCCTGTGTTATCCAAAAGAGAAGGGAACGAAGAGAGGGACTTGCTTTTCCGATATCTAGTCATGGGACGCCCCATTCCATGATGTGACGTCAGATGCAGCTCCTAAATGGCATTGGAGTTTAGATTCATCAATCAGAGGCCAAAGGCTGAAATCCCATGTGCTCTGTCCGTGTAACCCTTGTGCCAAGTCACAAGTTTCCAATTGACCATGGGCCGCAGCACGGCTGGAAAAGGCAATCCACTTCCAAGCAGGACTTTTATATCCTGGCACCTTTTGTTTCTCAATCATGGTCAACCCACTGTGCCTGCCTGGCAAGACAGCAGTCGGGCATTTGTTTGCAGATTTGTTTCTATTCTACTATTCGCACTGTGTTTGTGTGTGTGTGTGTGTCTGTCTGTCTGTGACATACCCTGCCGGGCGTGTCTGCATCACCATCCGTACCAGTATGTCGGGCAGCGATGGAGTCTTGTGTTTCTAAAACTTAAGTATCCTCTGCCTGCTTTTCAGGTGTGCCGAAGCTATTTGTGTGGATTCTGCCCCCATGATTTGTTTACAAATACCAAATCAGATTTGGGTAAGTCAATTTGTATTTGACTCAAAACTGTGGCTATTATCAAATGTACTATATTACTAGTATTAACGAGGTTATGAATATGATAAAGTACCAAAGTAGTTCAAGGTATGTGCACGTGTGATTGTGTTCTGACTTGCCACTGCAGACGAGCTGTGTGGTATGGTATGAGTGTGAATGGGATGTGTCCAGCATCGTTCTACTACTGTTGCCAAGAGTGCAGAAAGCAGAGTGTCCAGCTCGGTTACTCGGCATATGGTATGAGATCAGGACAGCATGGCTCATCGCTATACTACGTTTACATAGTACATGTACTAGTGCAAAAGGTACAGCTACCTCAAGTTTCGGATGCTGGCAAGGTTGGAGAAGGGTGGTTTGCTGCCTTCTTGCTCAGTTCTAATGGCCCAAGAGCTGACATGCTATGGTTTCAAAGCTGTGTGCTGTGAAATTCAGCCAGGTCGTCAAGGGCTGAATATGCTAGTCATACAAGTACATAACTCCCGAGAGTGTACAGCGCGCCACCGTCATTGCTGTCATGGCAGAACTTCAAGTTGATGCGTTGTTCACGTATTATCAGGCGTGTCTTGGAGATGTGGTGGGCAAATCCCCCTTCGATCCTGTACAGACTAGTACATGGTATTATATAACCCAATACTAGTTCAAAACTAGTATTAGATAAACCTTGTTATAGTTCACACATGTTGTTAGATTGACAGCATGAAACAAGGTGGAGGACACTGTGTTCGGAAACAGTGACCTTACTACAACCTTCCGCAGGGACCGGGGCTCTGCCAACCGCGAAAGGTTGTAGTAAGGTCACTGTTTTCGAACACAGTGTCCTCCACCTTGTTTGCGAACACAGTGTCCTCCACCTTGTTTCATGCTGTCAATCAGCTAACAATTGACTAGGACATGTGTACAAGGAAACACGTGTGGTGCGTTGACACCCAGTACAAACGTCGTAAATCACTCGTGCGACAAACATTCATCATAAAAACGACATCAACTTTGAAACTCTGCCGGGGGGGCATGGTATGCGGGAGTTGCTCACTCCCGGGGGCTATGTACTCCTGGCAGCAGTATTCCGGTCGGGAAAAAGAAGAAGGAGAAAAATGTTAAACTGTGCTGGACAGTGCGTTGCTTATATCTACGTAACCCAGTACACAATTATACTGATTTGGGCTGTTTTGCATAGCCCGGGGCATCTGAACTTTGGGATTTAGTCTGCCTTGTGTGAGCTTCTTATTCTTCTGTCGTGGCATCCAGGGTCTTTGGCCTCTACGCCCTGCTCCTCTCTTTCTTTCTCACTCTCTCTCTCTCTCTCTCTCTCTCTCTATTTCTTTCTTTCTCTCTTTTCCCTCTCTCCCTTTCGCGTCTTAGATTCCTAAAAAAATAGTTTTACACTGTACTGTGGATCGGAATGTAGTTTATTGTGTGCCTTGAATTTGGGTGATGTGTTTTGTGTGTGTGTGTGTGTGTGTGTGTGTGTGTGTGTGTGTGTGTGTGTGTGTACGTGCGTGTGTGTGCACCTAGTCCTCATCCACTTACTGAGGTGTGGTGATCCCATAAGTGGGATCATTTTAAAGTCCACCCAGAGTTTTGGGGATTTCAGGGGGTGTCGGCCGTCGGGCGGTTCAATAGCCAATTGAATCATCTTTCCAAGATTCCTTTTGAGTCTCTCTCCCCTCTCCCGGGGAGACCCACGTGACCAGGTTTGGCAGTGAGCAACAAGTACAAGTGTGTGTGTACATGGTACATGGTGTGTGTGTGTGTTTATCCTGCTATTCTGGTGGTTCTTGCTCATCATGTAGGTCAATGTCCGAAGAAGCACGAGGACAGACTGCGTGAGAAGTACGTTCTTACTACTGCCGGCTTTGCATTATTTGTTGCAGCGACCTACTTGTATGATTATGAGTGTTGGTGCACCAGTCGTGGCCAAAGAAATCCAACCCACGAGTCAAAAGTAGTGCCGCGTTTCCATTCCAATCGCGCCATGCACGATCCGAAAACCCAGCCGGGGGCCGCATGAGCCTTTGCGCTGCTTTCGGCGCACAAGTCGGATTTCTTTGGCCACAGCTGTAGTTACTGCGTTGCGCATTTCCTGGAGTGTATTGCTGGCTAGGTACCAGCAGGATGTGTCCAGTCACATGATCAAGCTATGGTGGAGCTCAGTGGTTCTCACACCCAACCAGCCACGCACAGCAGTCAGCAGCTGTAGCTAGATACTTTTGTTTGAAGCCAACCGGTTGTGGTACAGCCCAATCTGTGGTTTATCATTAGCCTGGTCGGCGCTCACTGCTTCCCAGAGTTCCTTGTAGAGTGTGCTGTTGGAGAATGAGTTCACCCTGTGTAACATGTGTGTTCGCCCACAGATATGAACAGAGCGCAAGGTTTCAGAAATGTGGCTACGAGAATGCCTTCCTTTCCTATCTGGAACGTATCGTGGAGGACATGGATCGTAAGATCAAGCGAGGTCGCCAGCGCCTAGCTAACAACACAGCGTACCGTGAGAAAGTGGTACGTGCATTCTACTTTAGACCGTGAGCACTTGTTCTTGATTCACTTCAAGGATTTTAGCAAATGTGTGGGTATCCTAATAAACGTGTTCCCAGGAAGTGTGAGTTTCGAAGTCTGAAGACAATGTTGAGCGGTCGCTGCTTGGATGACGACCACACCGTAGCTTAGTGGTAGAGCATCACTGGCCATAAGCGAGGGTCCCTGATTCGAGTCCTGGTGGTGACAGTCAATTTTTTCTTCAAACTTTTCCCGTTTGCACCTTTCTCTCAAGCTAATGAATAAACGTATGCGTGTGTGTGTGTGTGTGTGCGTGTGTGTGTGCTGATGGTCTATTTGTGGCCATTGGTCAGGTGATCGATGAGGGCAATGATGCTGCTGGTAACCAGGACATAGCACGGATTGAGGATACGATTGAGAAGCTGCTGTCAGAGGTAAGGTGCCGCCGAGCAATGTCGAGTCATTACAGGAGCACTGTGTGCCCTGTCCTATGTGCCATCTATATCAGGGGTGCTGGACATGCTACGGTCACTACGGTATTGACCGTACCGCTCGCTGTCCCAGGTACCCTGTGAATCAATAAAATGCACTGATTTGGCCTCAAAATTTCAAAAAACATTAAGTGCACCCCCCCCCCCCCCCGTAAATTGTGCTTTGGATGGCCAACGTTGCCACCCTAAAATACCTTCCAATGCCCATGTGTATGATAGCTTAGTACATCTGCCTCTGTATCAATACATGTGTGTGTGTGTGTGTATGTGTGCTGCGTAGGTCGAATCTCTTGGTCAGCAAGGGGAAGTCGACGAAGCACAAAATGTCATGAGGAAGATCGATCAACTGAAGCGCGAGAAGGAAAAGAAGCAGTTTGTGAGTTGCTATAATAGTCTGGCCCTAGTCCGATTGTCTGTGCGGTTGCGATCTAGTGCCTACGTTTACACTGCCTGTCCTGCCCTCATTGAGGCTGCTGCTGCTGTTGCTGCTACCACGTCTGTGGTTACCGTAACGAAATCTGGTGTACAGTCAACTTCACTAATAACGACTGCGGATATAACGACTATTCGCGAATAACGACAGAATTTCCATGCCCAGATCAAAGTCCCATCCAACTGTAATACATATAATGAGACTTCGGGTATAACGACACTTTGCGAATAAGGACACTTTTCTGATGCCCCGCTGAGTGTCGTTATAAGCGAAGTTGACTGTACTTTTGAAATGAATAGTTGCCTTCTTCTGTGAAGTTAGTCTCTGGTGATACTGCACGTGTGTATTCTCCCGTCTCAGAGCAACCACCGCGCTGATCTCGATGACTATGAGAAGCGCATGGAAGTGTGTGACACATGCGGAGCTTTTCTCGTTATCAATGACACTCAAATTCGCCTTGATGCCCATCTCTCCGGCAAGCAGCACCTTGGATTCACAAAGGTCCGTGCCAAGATTGATGACCTCAAGGTGAGAAGCAAGTGTGCTGTCGCTCCTCTGAGCCTGTAACCGGGTGTTTCCTTTGGTACTTGTTGCTCACATACATATGCTACATGCCATCTTTTATTTCAATTCGTGTGTGTGTGTATTTGTGTGCTTGTGTGTGTTTATCTGTCTGTCTCTGTCTCTCTTTCTGGCTGGCTGCTTCCTCTGTCTCTGCTCCTCTTTCTCCCCTCTCTCTCTCTCTCTCTCTCTCTCTCTCTCTCTCTCTTCTCTCTCTCTCTCTCTCTCTCTCTCTCTCTCTCTCTCTCTCTCTCTCTCTCTCTCTCTCTCTCTCTCTCTCTGTCTCTCTCTCTCTCTCTGTCTATCTCTCTCTCTCTCTCTCTCTCTCTCTCTCTCTCTCTCTCTCTCTTCTCTCTCTCTCTCTCTCTCTCTCTCTCTCTCTCTCTGTCTCTCTCTCTCTGTCTCCTCTCTCTCTCTCTCTCTCTCTCTCTCCTTCTCTCTCTCTCTCTCTCTCTCTCTCTCTCTCTCTCTCTCTCTCTCTCTCTCTCTCTCTCTCTCTCTCTCTCTCTCTCTCTCTCTCTCTCTCCTCTCTCTCTCTCTCTCTCTCTCTCTCTCTCTCTCTCTCTCTCTCTCTCTCTCTCTGTCTCTGTCTCTGTCTCTCTCTCTCTCTCTCTCTCTCTGTCTCTGTCTCTCTCTCTCTCTCTCTCTCTCTCTCTCTCTCTCTGTCTCTCTCTGTCTCTCTCTGTCTCTGTCTCTCTCTCTCTCTCTCTCTCTCTCTCTCTCTCTCTCTCTCTCTCTCTCTCTCTCTCTCTCTCTCTCTCTCTCTCTCCTCTCTCTCTCTCTCTCCATCAAATGACATAGCTGTGTCACACAAGTATACCTAACAATTCATTCTGAATTACTGCATTGTAGGCTTTGTCAGCTGGTGTTTGGCCGCTGCTCTCACTTGGAGTGCAAGCAGCATGATTGTGTGATGTACCATGTGCTGATGTAGTCAGATGCTGATGAAGAGAGTTATGCAAGCATGGTGTTTGTTGCTGTCTTTGCCATTCCCAAGGTTTTTAGCGTTGCCTCGTGGTTTTGATGCCTTGATTGTTAGAATCTGATCTGGGAAACCTATCTCGGCTGCCGACGTATTTGCAAGATATACCCTCCACCACTTTCCTCAGGTATTCACACTCTCTTTTGAAACACAGTTGCCCTTGTGGCAGCTTCAACGAAAACTGAGAGAAATCATCCAGTTGAGAAAGAAAGGGAGAACAGACACATTGTGGCACGGTGCAAGCCTGTGGCGTTTTGAGTCACTTGCACCGTTGACTATTTTGTGTCTATCTGCCTGTGTCGTATCTTTAAGTCAAGCCTCAAACCTTTCTTTCCCAGGCTACTTTACTCTAACGGGAAGGGTTGCATGACAACAAATTTCTTTATATGCTGATAGAGCATGATTGTACTAGTCTACTTTTGTCTCTCTTTGTTTTCTGGGTTGTGATGAGTTGCTATCAGATGCCTGTGTTTTACTGCCCGAACGCATCGCCTGTTCCCACCGAAAATCGCAGCTTTGCGGTGGCGCCGAATCCTCCAGATGTTGAGCTTTGCGTACGATATGACGTAGTTGCAGAGAATGTAGTAAATTCCCAGGAGCCTTGTTCGTTGTCGCCTGCCCGGGATGCTCTACAAAACCAAGTGCCAACCTTGCTTTTTGGTGCTAAACCCCATGCAATGGACTGTGATGCTCTAAAAAACCAAGTGCCAGCCTTGCTTTTTGGTGCTAAACCCCATGCAATGGACTGTGAGTGATCGTGGTGAACCCTGTAAAGACTGGCCACTGCCATGCCACGTGTTCTATCAAAAGGCGCGCCAGTGCATGAAGCGGCTGAAGAAGAAAAGGAAACGCCTTCCTGTTTCACGGTATATTCACTTCTTCTCTGCTTTTTCTGCGTACTTTCTACCATGAAATCCTTTTTTCTGCGATTTTCCGTGGGGACTGGGCAGGTTAACATGGGTTAATTTTGTTCTGTTTCAATGCACTAAGTTGCCAATATGAATGCACACATTACACGCAGTCAGTATTTTCTAGAGTACCAATGCAGCTCTTCCTCACCCTAGGTTGCCCATGTCCTTTATCTTGCTTTAGAAAATGCTGAAGCCTAGTGGCTCATCGTCATCATCGTCATCCCGAGGGGGAAGCGATCGGCGACGTGACAGCTATAATGATCGCGATTCTCGTCGGGACTACGATCGCGATTCTCGCCGGGACTCACGTCGGGACTACGATCGCGATTCTCGCCGGGACTACGACCGGGATTCTCGCCGGGATAGTGACCGGGATTCTCGAAGGGACAGTGACCGCTACAGAGGCCGGGACCGCGATCATAACAGTGATCGGGACAGAGGCCGCGACAGCAGTGATAGAGGCCGCTATGGCGGCGACTACTCGGATAGAAGACGAGACAGTGGCAGTAGGTACGATCGTCGAGATCGTGACCGCTCTGATCGGAGATCCAGGTAAGATATTGTGTGGACCGTATGCATCCTCGTGGCTGGGTCAACTTCGTAGTACAGCGTGTTTCCCAGTTTACTTCTGGAAGGGTATAATTACAAGAAACTCGTTAAGGTATCCTTACAAGAAACTCGTTAAGGTATCCTTAGTGTCTCTTATCTGCTGCACATCTATTTGTGTGCATTGTTATGACCGTGTCACAGCCATAGTTGTAAGGAAAATGCACTGAAACTCCCAGGATTCAGGATTCACTTACTCACATCCGTTGTATTCCCGTGAAGATAATGATCCATGTCATGGAATTGAACATGGTTGCACTACAGTACAGAGACCAGTGAGAGAGTGGGTATGAGTGGGTTTGGCCGATATTAGGACATGTTCCAATGGCTGCATTAGAGCTCGCAAGCAATTAGAACCATTTTTTGTATCATATCTATTTGCCTGTTGTCTGTGTGCCTGCCTGAAGGTCTCGGGAAAGACTTGACCGCCATCAAAGTCACCGCTCGCCCAGCAGAGAACGACAGCGGGACTCTGAAGAGCGGCAGCCCGAACATTCCGAGAGTCGCCATCGCGAGTCTGAGAGCAAGCGTTCGCAGGCTAACAGTGACAGGGCAACAGACCAGCAGGACGGAGAGCAGCAAGAAGAAAAGAGTGCTGCAGAGCCTGAATCTACTGATATTGCAAATGTAGCAGGAACGCCGGACGTTTAGGGTGAATCCACCACATGACACACCACCTAACTAGCTGCCAGCAGCAGCTCAATTGGATCAATATATCGTGTTGATTCCATGCAGTGCACGGAGTGGAGCATATCCTTTTCATTGCTTCCTCTCAGCTGTTGTCTCGGTGTGATTTTGAATGCGAGTGTGTGCGTGCGTGCGTGCAGTGGGTTTGTATGTGTATGTGTGTGTGTGTGTGTGTGTGTGTGTGTGTGTGTGTGTGTGTGTATGTATGTGTGTGTGTGTGTGTGTGTGTGTGTGTGTGTGTGTGTGTGTGTGTGTGTGTGTGTGTGTGTGTGTGTGTGTGTGTGTTGTGCAAAACTGATTGCTCCGACTGCTTCCCAGTGCTGGTCTCACTGGGTCACTCACAGCAGGAGTCGTACGCCCTGGGCATTGCTCATGTGTGTGTGTGTGTGTGTCTGTCTGTCTGTCTGTCTGTCTGTCTGTCTGTTTGTTTGTTTGGATTGTAAATATCATGTAGTATGTCATTTGTTCTGCTCCGTACGTGAGTCTCTAAGACTCCCTATGCATGCATTTGACTTTCCCACTCGACTAACAGTCACCGATATACACAGCCATTGTCATACTATTGCTGTACTACGCTGCCAGCACCTACCAGGTCCATGGGGGCGTGTTGTAAATCATTATTTCTACTGGTTTTTACCCTTGCTTTACTTACTTTTTTCAGTGTCCTTCAACATGTAGTCATGTCAGACGGATTACCGTATTGGCTATTGTAATTGTTCTTGCCCCCCCCCCCCCCATTACCAGACGACCGATGGTTGCCCCATTACCAGACGACCGATGGTTTGAAGCGGCACTGCTGAAGCTGCTCCCGAAGTTCTGGTGTGTAGTGTGAATCTATGCTGGAAGTGTCTGAATGGCATGTACATGTGTGGGCAGCCAGCGTCCAGGACATGGGTAGAACAGTCACGTCAGAGGTACACACACACACACACACACACACACACACACACACACACACACACACACATGCGCGCGCACACACACACTCACACACACCTTGACCTGGATCTTCCCCATTGTGTACGCAATGATAGCGAACGTCAGAAAGTTCATGTGAGAACACGAGCGCAGAATTTGGCATGTCGTTTCAGGTCTCCTGGTCGATGAAGCGGACGTCCACCGAGATCAGGATCGGAGCAGGCCGTGGTGGTGGAGCGCTGCACGCACATACACATACACACGCACACACACACACCATGTACCATGTATACGCCCGTCGTAAGAGAAGCACGCAAATCTGCAAATGCACTGTATGTGCACCCACAGATTTCACACACACACGCATGTGTGACACAAGCACTAAATAATGTAAATCAAATGACTGGTGAGCAGCCTTATCACTTGTATACATAATCTGTGACTATGCTCTCGTACGTATACTATCAACAGTCCATAATCTCCCGGGGTGTTGTGTACTCTTCGTCTGTAGTCTTGATACTATCAGCAGCTGCAGGTACTTGGCTGATGCATGTGCATGGCCCTGCGTCACACTGAATCCCCAAGGAATTGACGCGGACCGTGATTGTCAGAGATCATCTACTAAATCTCCCACACCGTGACGTATAAATAAAACAAGTAGCAGTTGCTGTTACTACATTGCACAGCTGCCTCCAGGTGTTACCATACTGCACAGTACAAGCAGCTCATCGCAAACATATGTCATACCATACACGGTTAGAGGAAATCCAGATGACAAAATGTCGTGCAGTCTGTCACATTCGTCAGTATTACAGCGCCTGCTTGGCCAGTGATGCATGGGCATGGGGGCTTTATAGGGTATTTTCATTCCGGGAGCCAGAGCCGCAACGGCCAGGTTGCAACTTACAAGCCACGCCCCACGCTTGGAGGCAAAGTCTCACGTTCCACCCTGTGTACTACGTACTAGTACCGTATTCTTCGTATGGCAATGACTGTGGGTAGGGGGCATAGGAGACGGAGGCAATTTTGGCTGAACTTTCGAGAAAGCGTGGCTCAGACCCTGGAAAATATAGTACGCGAGTCACATGTCGCTTATCCAGCACATCGGTTATCCAACAGCGCACTATCAGCTCATATACCGGTACTGCATATTTAGTAATTTACAGTCCTACCTTGAGTAAATGTGGGCGGTGAGCATCATGCATGCAACTGTTGTTGCCTTTATCCAACATTACACACAAGTCATGATGCAGTCTATGCAGATGAGCACGATAGCTTCGATAAGTCGAAACTATCTCAGGATCTGGGGATCTGAGGATAACCATGACTACATATAGTACATGTACACTCATACCTCCCTTATCCGGGCGGTCCGCGACCGGGCACTGCCCGTAATTTTGAAATGTCCGTAACCCCAAATCACATGCATTTTGATGGGGAAAGGCCATAACATAGGTATGGCATATGGCGTCACTATATCCATAAAAAGTGACAAAAGAGTAGTAATATTTCCACTGAAACTCACCCAAAGGGTGCCCGATAGACTGAAATGCCCGGAACGTTGGGGTCCGGATAACCGAGGTGTGAGTGTAAAAGAGCAACAAAAAATACCGTCCTTTTGATGTGTAAGAAGGTGGCTGCTCCAAACGTTGGAGGCGCACTTCTCAGTTCGTCCTTTTGATGCGTGAGCACAATAACGGCTATGTAGCTTCAGTTATCCAGAATATTCATTTATCCAGCCCCGAGGGTGCCGGGCAACTGCCACGGACACACAGCATACAATGTTGTCAATTGTTGTTCTTGCTGCTGTTCTTGCTGCCGCCGTCACTGCTGCTGCTGCTGCTGCCACTGCTCGGGTTGTGCTTTTATCTACACCGGTAGTCGTGCAATCCGACAGGCAAATTTTTCGTGCACAAGGAGACAACTTCAAGAAGGAAGAGGATTGGACGAAGTATCAGATAATCAGAGACCGCCTGTGTACATGTAGATAGGCTGCATAGAGTTACTCGGACTACTACAGTACTCTAAGACCGCATAGACTAGAGAGAGGCCGCAGGATCGGCCAGGAATCTCCTGCGCCTCCACGCAGGCCGCATTAAGTAATAGTATGCCTAGCTCAAGACTACATGTTGTAGAGTAGGATCACGTACTGCTGTGTTTCAAACGACACCGAGTGATACATGACAATCACGATACAAGTACATACAATCTCTTCATTTACATTGTTACAAATTGGGCAGAAGTTTGGGAACTTTAAACCGTTGGTTCGACCATGGTGATATGTAACTACAACATGCATGCTTGAAGTCACGGTCAAGCAGCCCATCAGCCCAGGCTGAGCTGCAGCTTTTTAGGGATCAGGTGCGATAAACATGATCATGTGACATACGGTTACAGTGGCTTTCTCCCACTGCGGAGAAAGTATTCAGGTTTCAGCAGCACAGCAGAATAAATAAAATGATGTGATCAGCAGATCTAGTTTCGTTCCTTGTCAGTACCTCTGGCCAATGGCAAAACATGAGGTTGCGTAGCTAGCCAAATATGCCCTGAGGCCGGCTGACTCTGATTGGACAGGCTCTGCTTCCACTGCGATCTTGGCTAGACAGTAGTAGGCACATGATAGTCGTGTGCAAACGGGTGGACATTATCGAAGGAGCATTGGTTTGCATGAAGCCCAACCATTGCATGCGGTATGCTTTGTCTGGTATGAATACTATGATGCTATGATAGTAGATCTACACCAGGCCAGGGTGTCATTTATACCACTACTATACCTGATCTACACAAAATAGTACAGAGTGTACTAGTACTTTAGTAGCTGTGACAGGATGTTGTCAAGCGGCCAAGAGGCTTGCCACAGCAATGTGCCTCTGCTTGTCAAACCACTGAGGCCAACGCACAGCCAAGGTGACAAGAATGGGGCAAGGTGGTGTTGATTTCTAGAGCTCCACACCATCGTGATGAACCCGACAGTTGCCCACAACTACACGCATCCTCTGCTACACTGGCAGATTTCCCCGACAACACGTCGTTCGTATGTGGTCATGTGTGTGTGTGTGTGTGTGTGTGTTGGTATGGCAGCACAATGCCAATGATGGCAGATCATGGCTCACACACGCACAGTCAAAAGGCAAACATGCGCTAAACTAGAGACTTACCCGGATTCGATGATTGATACACTGCAAGTCTGCAGTCTGTCTGACTGACCAGCTCACCAGCTCTCCACGGAATCCGGAACGAGGGTGCGTCTCTTGTTTACTTGACGCTTGTCTAGCCTGCTGGCAGTGCTGCACTGCGGCGATAATGATGTTCCGATCCCATTGTCATTGATGGTTTCGTCCCTTCCATCCGGGCATGTATTTGGTAGAGTAACCTTACAGATTTCTCGACCCCCTCGGTTTCTTCATTCGCGCGCCGCACAATGATTTATGGTGTAACTGTTTGCAGTTGAGAGCAACCGCCTTAGTTTCCTCCCATCCGGCTAGATAGTCGTTGCCTTAGACTTAGCATTTCATAACGTTGTCCACCGCCTCCCAAGAAGAGATCAGGACCTGGCCTGGCCCTTTGGCAAATCTTGCTAGCGATACCTCTCTGTAAAAGATCAAGCCACATTGTCTTCTACGTTTTTTGAATCACAAACGAGTGCTAGAAGCATCCGCTGCCTGACCAAACACAGCAGGAAATCATCGAGAGGCTCGGCTGGCAAGCTCGCCCAACTGGCGCGGCAACATCACAAGTACAGGCCCGTGGCTTGGTATTCTAGTGTGAATACGCGCCTGTTTCATTCAGCGATCCGTCTCGGACTGTTCCGCTTGCTCCGATTCGAACGGGTGGGTCGGTGTGAATACCTGAGATCGCTTGCGACCACCCACTCGCACTCGTCGGGCTGGCCATTGATACATGTACTGCAGTAGCTGCTGTGCCATCGCACTTGTGACTTAGCACGAGCTTGGACTGGAATCTGGAGATAATCGGAACACAACCGCAGGTAGATCTACACGACATTAATTTTCGTTGTTTCTGAACGCCAGTACATCTCAGAACTTCGTGTTTGCTCGGAGCCACAGAATTGAAGCAATTGGAAGAGACACCTTACGGTCTGAAAAGCGACACTGAGAATGAGTATCCCGTCCAAGTCGGAACTAGCTGCTCGCGCAACTACTCCGTACAGAGTGGTTAGCGATACAAGCGGCAACATGCTGCGTCGTGACCTGCAGACATTGGACAAACAGCAGTCCTACCTGCTGAAAGGCCTGGATCGTGAGCAGAAAGCCTTTCGTCGGTCGCTGGACAGTCTGCAGAGCACTCGGGTCCGTTCCGGTGGTGGTGGTGGTCGCGGTCACCTGAATGTTCCAGGAGTCAATGGACAGGGATTAGGTCTCTCAGTATCACCAAGTCTGAATCAGAGTAGACATTTGGCCAACAGCTCATCCACTCATGACCCAGCAGCACATCGTAGTGTGAGCGCGGCATCATCGCAGTACGCACAGCAGCCACATACGCGCAGTCCAGCAACCATGGCAAGGAATCCACGGGGATCACCGAAAGTACTGCGCAAGAGCCGAACAATCGGCAGTCCATCGACATCACATCGGTCCTATATCAACGCGTTCCCGTCACCACTTGCTGACTCTGCGAGCAAGAGCGTAGCAAAGTCTTGGACGCCGAACGGTGCATGGTCGAAGCCCCCAACCGGACTACACGTGCCCACAGATAGAGAGAGGGCAGCTAGTAGCGGAGATATCCGTAACGCATACATTGACGACTTACATGTACAACCAATGGCTGGTGGCAACACGGATAGTAACACAGGCATTGCTGCTTCACGCAGTACGGGTAACCGGCATTCTCTACCGCCGCTAGTCGTCCACCCTTCCAAGGATAACCACCACGTTAGCATTGCGCAAGCCAGCCATTTGGCATCCAGGTCAAACAACGGCCTGGCTTCGGCGGCTGGACAGTATGGCTCTCAAGAATTTCGTCACTCTGCAGCTAGACAGCCGAAAACTAGCGATCCGCTGGGCCTGTCGGAGTTTTCGGTGCACGGCGAGACGCTGACGGACGGTCCGTACGCAGGAGGTGGAACGGGAAGGAACGCCGGCGAGGTACCGCTGACCCAGGCCAACGTGTTCCTGGCTAGCAATCAGGTTCGGCTAGTCCAGTCGCACAATCTGCTGGAAGACCTGACGTCGTCTCTACCCCGGATCACGCGTAGCCGACCGGGTACTGCCGTCCAGCCTGCCGGACAGCCTGCATCCACAAGTAGCGGTGGGCAGGCTGGCAAGGATGCTGCTGCCGCCACCGCTGAATCAGCCAATGGACATGCCGGTCTCTTGGCGGAGGACGATGGCGAGCTGCTCAGCAACGGCTTTCCAGATGATGGCGTGATGGGAGACAATGCCCACGGGGGAAAGTCCCTGGCAAGGCTGATGAGCGAGATCAAGGGTTGCCGCTACATTCGTCATTACACGTCCGGCAGTGGCCCGGGTAGCCAGGATCACGAGGATGCTGCTCGGAAGATATTTGCAGACTAATGGCACTGCGCGCCTGTCATACTGAGAAACAGGCAGTACTGCAAGTAGGGATTGACCGTGTTGTCGGTCAGTTCCACTTCATTACCTAACCTATGCATGATTGAGTCGCTCCGGTTCGTAGACTAAGATGAGAAACTTGAATTCTCGATCTATGTACCTCGTCTTTTTACAGACGGAATTACTAACGTTACGTGCACCATAAGTACAATGGTAGCTGCTTTGTACACATGATACATAATTATTATATTTTGAGCTACACACATAAGAATTGCTTTCTGAATCCTGTGAAGTTGAGGCTTAACACTTTTTTGAAACCCCGGCTGTGGCTGTTATTCATGACTGGCATAGGCTCCTTGAATTAGCATTCTGCTTGTATCATAGAACTAAGAAGCACCCGATGCACAATGCTCAACCCGATAAGTTGATACTCCCAAGGATGTGTGAGAGATGGCAGAGGTGCCGTGTTTGACATGTCCAGGACAGATATAGCGCCTATAGTGTATCATTCTGTGTTTGAGATACGCTATAGAATTTCAAAAGTAAAATTTTTAATGTATACTCGAATTTCAGACATTTTAGGCGCTCAGCATTTTCGGTATGAGGGCAAAAGCCAGGTTAGGTGAACAGGACAGAAACAGAAATGTTAGGCGCTCAGTACTTTCAGTACCGGTATGAGGGCAAAAGGCCAGGTTAGGTGAACAGCCATTTTAGGTACGGAGAAGCAGTTCCCTATTGGATTGTGTGTTAGTGTTTGTTCGGTTGATTGAAATTTTAGTACTGTACTGTAGTATATACATGTAACGTTAGCTGTCCGAGACACATCAGACACGGTACTGGCCCATTCGTGGACATTTGGAAATCAACACTCCACAACTGGTAGTGAAAAATGCACCGATGTCAATGGTGAAAGGCTCAGGTTGCATCTGTTCCGGATTTACAGCAGCTGGAAGTTTTCACTAAATTCAGTGACATAGTTTGGCCAGAATAGGCGAGATCTGGGACATCATGGAGCTCAATTTTGCATGGGAGTAGACCAAACAATAGCAATATCGACTGTTGAGAGATTCTCCCAACAGTCACAATCTGAATAAAAGGGGGTTTGTCAACTGACAACAATCTAGCCAGATATTTCAAACTTCAGAACATATCACACCGTAACGGGATCACAACAGGAAAATCGTGCTGACAGGAAGCTTGCAATAATTGTAGCAAAACAAGAGAGAATTTGGCTATTCCCTATCTATTCCCATACAAAGTTTACCTCTGTGACATCACAGAGATGGCCTATTCTGGACAAATTATGACACCATTATCATGTCACCAAATAAAGCGAAAAATTCCAGCTGCTGTAGCTCCGGAATACTTTAGATGCTCCGAGCCACCTGAGACTTTCACCATTGGAGCCAGTGCATTTTTCACTGCAAGTTGTGAAGATCTCATTATTGGGTGAACTTCCGCATATTTAGGAGTGCACTAATCTAGCCAAATAAACCCACTTGCACAAACACCGTGTGATGCGTTGCATCAGCCACAACTAGACTTCGAAAAGCAAGTGCTAGCCCACTAGCAGAAAAAAACCCAGAAGCAAACACATCTTAAAAACTGAAATAAAAATAACCAGAAGAAGAGAAAGAGAGAAATAGAGAGAAGAAACACCACAGCGGCTGCATTTGTAGAGATAGCAACTGTGGCTGGGAAGGTGGCACGAAAAATAGAATGCATGCCTGAAAGGGAGACTTCATTTTTGACAACACGATTGATCGAACGTCAGGGAAAGTGTACACATGTGTGTGTGTGTGTGTGTGTGTGTGTGTGCGCGTGTGTGTACGCGCGTGTGTCAGTGTGCATGCTAGCACCATCAAATCTGTAGCAGCTAGAATAGAATCCAGCCGAAGAGTGTCAACAAAAGGTGTTCCGCTTGGCGGTTAGGTACACGCACCAGCACGCACTTGCCAACTCAAGTCGTATGAGGACATACAATGAGCCAAGATATGTGCGAACGCATACTCGGCAGGGTGCATCTGCAATGAGCTCTACCTATCAATACTTGTAGGAACCGTGTAGAAAGTTCGAGAACCGTGCACAGTGTCATGATAGACAGAACTGGCAAGTTGCGATCGGCACTGCACGGCACTGCATTGCACTGCATTGCAGAGATCACCGCATTGCATTGCACTGCATTGCACTGCATTGCAGAGATCACACCAACAGTGTACTGTAGGTAAGCCGGGTAACCGAGGCGACAAGTCATTGGTCAACCGTCCCAGTGTAACATGTAATCTGTCAACGAGGCACAGTAATGCCATGCCACTACCCGTTAAGAGCCGGCACCTCATCCGACTGAAGTGTGCAGGGTATTGGAGGACAACTCACATCATGCATTGTCACCGTTGTCTTCATGCTCGGGGGTCTCCGTGGCCTGCACAGGCGTTTTGCCATTGCCGGTGGGTGATGCTGGCGGTGACACTGCAGCTGACTCACTCGCTTCGTTTGCCTTTTCGTCACTCTCGGCCGCCGGGGCTGGTTTGCTGGCTGTGAACGACGGCGGTGCTGCTGCACTGATCTCCTTCTCGTTCTTCAGAGCGTTGATGCGTGCGTTGATGCGCGCCACCAGGTCTGCAATATCAACAGGCGAGGCCTGTATGCAGAGGACACACACACACACACACACACACACGCACACACAAAGGCACTCGCCTTAAATAACCTTGATACAATTGATACAGCAATCCGACACAAAACCAAGAGGGAAATTCACTATGGTCCTGAACAAAACAAAACATTCTCCGTCTCTGTCTCGCAACAGGTAAAAGAGTAGCCTGTAACAAAGGCGAGGCCATAAGTTGACAATAGATTTAGGGGTGAGTGTTGCTGACAAGATGCCACTCATGACTGGCGATAAGACACAATCCAGTGTGCCCCAGCTCAAGGAGATAACACCCCCCCCCCCCTCTATATACGATGTACACAGTCCACATACCTTGACAAGCACAATCTCAAGCTCTGTGTCGTTCATGACCGTGAGCCGAGCCGACCGTATATTGACTTTCTCACAGCTCTGGCCAGCCCACAGTAAACAGTTTACCATCACGCGGAGGCTGCCTGTGGAGCGGATTACTGGAACACATCAACCAACACCACCGCCATAAGAGAGAAAGAGAGAGAGAGAGAGAGAGAGAGAGAGAGGGAGGGAGAGAGAGAGAAGAAGAATGGTCAGATGGGGTTACACAAATACATACTTGCAAGTACACATGCATTATGCCATAGGTATGCATGTTCTGATGAATACATGTACATGTACACAAAAGCCCCACCTTTGAATTACGTGCCGAGAACACAGCAGTCTGCACGTAATGACATGTAGAGAAGTAACAAAGCCAGAAGCCAAAACAAGTGTTTAAGTATGCAGCCATGCGTGCACATTACATAGCATAATGTCAACATACCGAGTCTTGACGATGGTGGACCACTGGGCGAGTCTTTGTCGTTGACACGGACGATGGCACGACCTTTCTCCACCCACTGCCGGGTGTCTCGATTGAAGTTGTACAAACGGCAAGAAATCTATAAATTAAGCAAGACATCAACACCGGGAATGGACTTTCACGCTGATACAGTGAGCTGTTAAATAACGCCATGTGAACCGAAGCATGATTTCTAGACAATGACAGAGAACCCGACTTGCCGGGCAGCTTTTTACCTGCATGATGTTCTTTTCACCCTCTTCTCCGGTGACCACATCCACAAGTGGTAAGTCACGCGCTGCCGCAGAGCCCCCAGCACTGGATGCTGACGTTGTCGAGCTGGCAGCTGCACTCGTATCTACATGCCAGAACACACGCAAGCAGGCACAGGACGGGATTTAAAAATGGTGTGATTCAGTGCATCTTATCTAAGTTCAAAAACGCAAAGCCACAATCAACAGTGCCAGTGGACATACAACTATCTGGCACAAGTTCATCCACCTGCACGCATATGCGTACACACACACACATGTTGGAATATGAGGGCTGCTTTGCACTTATCATGGCTGCAGCTCACTACATGTACATGCCTATTCTCACATGACACGTGATCGTTGCCCAGGCCATGGCCGAAAGGCGGTCTTCCCGCAGCGGGCACTAGTAAAATCAGGCCATCAGAACCGATTGACGTCATTGTGGGACGAATTTGACCTTTTAACTAGTACTTTCAACCTTTGACGTTTCCAAATTATGTTGCTTGGTGCTGTAAGAAATCAAATCAAGCACGCTCTGTCTGTCATGACGGCTGAATCTTGCCCGAGCCTGCAGCCCTCGGGCCTATGGCCCTTGGACTGCAGGCTCGGGCAAGATTCAGCCATCGGGCCCTCCTGAGCGTGCTTGATTTCACGCTTCAATACTCGTAACTTGACAGTGTTTGGGCCACGGCAGCTGAGTTTTTATCACTAGCCAGTAGTTACCTACCTGCACTACTGTTGGTAGAGTCGCTGCTTGCTGCAGTGCTCGCCGAGCCATTCGTTCCGGCTGATGATGTCGCTGCAAATACCTGATTTCAAGCCAAGAAAAACCCCACAGTGGACTTCAAAGGTAAGGCAATTTGAGAGTGCAGACAAAAGAAAACAAGCACTGGCTGATCCGGAGTACATGTGGCATCAAGCGTACATGAAAACCAGAGCGCGTAGCTCAGATGGGTTGCTGTCACGGCCAAATTCCGTGACTACATCATTAATTTTTAGTGATGTGGTACGTACAAGCAGGATTCAAGCAGGTCACTTTCTGCACAACTGCAGCTCAGTTGTACGCACTACGCCACTTCCCGCCTCAGATCGGCACCAAATACGATGAAATCACGGAATTCCGCCGTGACAGACACCCATAGTAGAAAAAGCCCCAAGCTGCACACTCTGGTTTTCATGTGCAAGGTAACCGTGTTGATCGCGGTGCTGCAAAGCTCACCTGCCACGTCCATGGACCAACAGGTACGCATTCCCCCATACCTCACAGGCAAAAAGTCTGTGAAGGCACATCTATATACAGTAACATGTTCACTATCCTTTAGAGGCGATTTACACGACGGCAGTGCATCCCGCCAGGAAGTGAAGCACGTGATCCCAAGAGCTTGCCGTGATACGGGAAAACGAAAATCGATTCACACAGCAGGATGCACGCACAGTGCATACCTGTAGTACAAACAGTCCACGGAATGCCACGGGATGCATTTCCACCCCCAGCCCCCTCACGGCACCGGGATACGTTCATGGGCACGTTAACGCCAAAATATGAGTACATGTGACTGAATCTCCATGGCAGCATCACGCACGGGATCCTGCCGCTGTGTAAATCGCCTCTTTAATACGAGCCCACCCTCATCCACCATACCTTGACGCGATCGGTCAAGTTCTGACCAAACACGAACGGTGTTGGCTTTGCAGGTGTTTTCTCATCACTGGAGTCAACCGTTGTTGATTCTGATGAAACAGACTTGCTCCTGAACAATAAACAGTGAAAAGAGAAAGTTCATCAGGTGGAGGGAGTTGCAACGTGAAAAGTCTAAAACACCACAAGGAGGATTTTTTTACTTTTGACCAGGGTAAATAAATGTAATTTTTTGCAGTTGCAGGTGGAATCTTTATAATGCCGATTTTATAGATTCAGTCGATATGATTTTCCCCACAACAACGTCTGATAATTCGATAGTAGAACTGGGTATGTTCACCTCCCGTACTCATGCAATCAGAGCCCTGTCTCGGAGAGCCAGTGAATCTTTTTTAAACAAAGCCCTCTCTGTTGAATAGTGTCCTGAGTGCATGATCAAGCGCATGTGCAGGTTTGGTGTTGTATTGCTAGTGTTGTTGTTCTGGCATTGGTGGTTTCATGATAAAAATCGTAGATCTTGGTGCAGTTTCTGTTGAGTTGTGCTTCTTCTTCTCCTCTACATCAGCAGTATTTACACGTATGGACATTGATACTTTCAACTCTGTTCTTCTTTGCTTTTTTTTGTTTTTTGCTAGATGACATATTTGCATCAGCATTGAAAATATAGCACCCTCTCTTGACCTAGTGATTACACAACACAAACAAAAAGAAGCACACGAGACGATGCAACACCCACACACACACCCGCACACACACACACACACACACACAGCCCTGGGCATTGCTAGCTCAGCTTACTTTTGAAGGCACTGCAAGAACGGGTTGTCACTGGGGACCGATGGCTTGGGTGCCTTGTCCAGAACGGGGCGCGGACCAAAACCAAAGTCCTTGATCAGATGCGATCCAGGTGATGACTAAAACAACAACACCATCCGGAGGAGTTCATTTGACGCAGTACAGCATTCACAACTTCCAGCAACTCAACTACTCAGCAGAATCATACAGTCATAATGAGACACACTGACACACTACTTCAAGAAACAAATCATGCGACTGGACTCGGCTGCGATATAACTCACGTTGTGGAAAGCACCAAAAACAGTGGCAGCGCCTGTAGCTGCAAGTGGATTCACCACCTCACCGGTAGCGACAGCGGCAGTAGCAGCAACAGGAGCAGACGTAGCAGTATCTAATGACCGACACACACAAAGCCAAAAAGAGACATGTTAAACGCCCAAAGAGCAACCCAGCAAATGAAAGTTACCTATACGCAACGAGCACCAGGGCCCAGTGCTTCATAACGAAGACCAGGTATGCAATGGAAGTGAGCTATGGAACGCCTGCAAGATGAATGTACGTGTGTGTGTGTGTGCGCGCGCGCGTGTATGTATGTATGCGTGTGTTGGTGGGAGGGTGTATGACATGCCGGTACCTATTTTACTCAGGCACACTATCATCACCCAAACATGCATAAGGTCACACACACCCCACCAAACGACAAGAATAGAAATGCACACCAAGACTATGTTCAGTACACAATCGTGTCAAAGAAGCTTTTCCGCAGTAATAGGTCTTGAAATATTGCATACGTTAACATCCAGGCTAGTGCCAACACGACGAATGAACACACCTGATTTCTTGCCAGGAGCAGCCAGTGTTGGAGGCGCTAGGGAAAAGCTGCCACCACCAACAAGTGCTGCAGTGCAACAACACCAGGGAAAATAAATTAAACTGAAGAGGAGGCACGGCCAAACAACGAACTGCAGGCAATACCCGTTGCCCGAAAAACAGGGATGTATGCTACTTTAAATGATCATAAGAAACGTTGAATCTCTGTAGCAAGAGCACCTTGCAACGTAAGCATACTCCCAGTTCACAGCTACAAAACCTACATGTATGACATTTAGCATGCACTCCATCCTAGACAGCGCTACAGACAGTATTGCACAAGGTAAACTACTGATGCATCCATCACACTATCATGTAACACCTAGGTCTACAATGATGGAATGCGTTGGAAAGCCGACTGCGCATTAAATGCAAAATGGCGATGTTTGCCGCGTACAGCCTAAGGAGACTTCACACCAATGAATGCTGAATCATTGTTTTAGCAATTTTAAGTACATGCCGCTATGATAAAAAGAATGTATCACATACGCATACGATGATACCCAGTTTCAAAATACATTGTACTTGGTACATAAACATGAAATGAAGGACTATAGCATACTCACGTGATTTCGGAACTTCCATAGGCGAGTTGGAAAACTTCGGTGCATTCAGCTGTAACGGAGCTGCACCCAAGCAACACAATGCCATGTGGACATATTTAGGAAACATTGGCAGCTTGATGTTCAATACACAACTGTGGCAAGTGAAAATTGGCTTCATACAGCCCAAGTCGCCGGGGTGATCAGTATCAATGTGCTGGCAGCGAGCACTCCAAAGCAATTGAGCGTGTATCAAATAGCTGCAGCCACCTGGGGAATACACAGGGTTATTTTCTCTCTTTCGTTTGCATCATTAGTGGAGGTGTTCGTTTGTTTTTGTGCATGGAGTGGTAACACAAGCACTGATTGGCGGCCCCATCAAAGTAAGTACCGTGACATAACCTCCATACACTGGGAAGCATTTCCACACATCAGCTGTTGTCACAGCAGCACACATGTCTACACGTCAGTTGTTATTAATTTTATCACAGCAGGAAAGCACTGGCAGTGAAAGTTTGGGTGATGACAGGCTGTCGACAAGCTACAGCAGTGATGTGGACGCTGCGGAGCAGGTAAGGCCGAAGCGAAAACGTCGTGGCTCTGGGGAATTATTTCCGCGAGGCAAAGCTCGAGCGCCCTACAAAAAACCTGGCGATCTCTAGAGCACGAAAACCCAACCGATGATGAAGACGATGCTGCAGAGCAACAGCGGACTGGCTGTGGATGCCGCCTTGCTCTGTCCGCTCATGTGGAGTCGTTTCATGCAATGGAAGTTACGGGGACTGACTTGAAAAAACGCAAGCGGTATTTGCCAAAGGGGGACAAGGAGAAAGCGTACAGGTGTCTGAAGAAGCAGAACGATTGGCTGATATCCAATGTATTTGATGCCAGCGGAAATTTCCTGTATTGTAGAAGTTGTATCACACGTACACTTAGAGTCAGTAATCAGCGACTGTCCAGGCTCAGAAAAATGAGACATAAATATATTCCACCAGAGCATGGACTGCAGGCCAAGCAACCCAACAGAGCAAAGAGCACTGTGAAAGCACAGTTCCTGGAGTTTGTGGATGCCAATAGAGTGCCGAATGGACGTCGTGCCGGTAGCTCTTCTGCAGAGTATTTCTTTGATGCGCAGTTCAACTGCTTCTGCTCGCCTGACAAGGGAGTAGCTGACCATGACATTCGAGCGCGCCGATCAGTTGTTGGGTCTTTCAACCTCTCACAGGATGCAGCTGGTCGTCAGCATTGTGGAAACTATGCAGCTCGGTAGTGGCTGAATCAAGAGTGTCCCTCCACGAAAATATGCTCGCTGAATTCAGACTACTGCGACTCATGCAAGGCGTATGGTGAGGAGATATCACGGGCGCAAACAATAGCGAACCGTTTAATCGAGTCCGGCAATGCAGAGCAATCGGCTATCAAGGTACAAAGGGATCTAAAGGGATCTTGCTGAGAGTCATCGTTTACTCCTTACTCCGATTTGAATGCATGCCCAGGAGTCAATGCAGAAAAGACGGCACAGCTAACAGATATGTACGACCGATGGATTCCTACAGATCGCCGCTTCGAGATCCTCCCTCCCTATGTACCCCTGTCAACAGTTGCGATGGGAGCAGTCGTTCCAGTTGCTGCTGGCCCGGTCACTTCCACACTTGCCCAGTCTCTTGAGGACCTTCTCGCTCGCCGCAGGTGTTCTGTGCCTGGCTGCTCAGGACTTGGTCACAAGAATGTGCAGCGGTGGGCTGAGGGACACACCACACTGTCAGGCTGCCCACTGTATCACAACACTCAGGTCCCGTAGTAGGTGTACCTTTCCAGCAGATGGACAAGGAGAAAAACACCCCAACACTTTGAACATTCCTTTTTTTTCTTTTTCCTTTGTTAGATTGTATATACCGATCCGCTGTTATCCTGGGGAATGTTTTGCTCCCTACGTGGGAGCTCGCGCTTTTCCTGCCGACTTGAATTCTCACTTGACTGACCCACAATTGCAATCCAGAGCACACGAGAAGTCCATCGAACCTTCCACTCGGCAAACCTGCAAGAAAGCACCACTTTGAGCTCTGGATCTTGGGGGTTTTAATTAAAAGTTTTTCCCTGTGATAGGTAGTTTTCACTAGGGCAGCAGCTGCAACCTTACCTGGAGAGTCGGCCGCATTGTCTGAATCAGTGGACTCGGTGGACTTCTTCTTCGCTGCAATATCCAATGGGATGCTTGGACGATTGGAGTCAAACGGTGCGGCCCCCACTACAGCCACATAAATAATGGTAGCGGCATCAAGAGAAATATGAGACTTCAACAACAGCCCCAAGCACGTTGACTCCGGCCTCTTTGCCATGGAAACGAAGAAAAAAAGAACTACAACAATGATGTCCTACTGTGCTGTGATTTCAGAATGATAGTGTAGATGCGGACTCAGTCACTGCCAAGTTAACAGACAGCATGCATGCCCGAAAAACGTCTGGAGTGCTCAGCATTTAGTGTGTAGTGTAAGCTGGCGGAACCCTGCAATGAAAGACAGCGAGTTGTACGCACAATGCTTCACATTTATAACTCCCACGTACCATTGCCGCTGCTGTCCTTGGACGCAGCCTGTGATGCTAACTCTGAAAAAGTAGATGCCGGCTTCAGCTTTTTGGCTGCTGATCCATCGGGAGAAGCTACAAGCGAGCACACGGTGGACATGTACATCACAACAGTAAGTGACCTAGAACGAGTACAAACTTACATGGTGTGTAACTAGTAACCAGACTTCCGGGCAAGACCTGACCCAGGAGGATACTGCTATGCCTTTCATGCATTCGTCCATCCTTACACACACACACACACACACACACACACACACACACACACACACACACACACACACACACACACACACACACACACACACACACACACACACACACACACACAGGCACAGTGGCAATATTATCCCGTAGAAACCAGCCTTAGTTCCTCATTACAAATGTATTTCCACCTCTTACATGCCAAAATCAGCACAGCATGTGACTTCTACACGTGTGTACGAGTGTAGTAAGTTGTACTGCGAACTAAATCTCGTAGCCCGGCACTGCATTTGGAATGGCGTTTCGAAACAAAATGGTACGCAAAGCAGAACAATGTATTGTCGCCATTCTGTTTACTGGTTTATTTGAAACGACACGATGATACTTTGCCTTCACTTTTGTTTCGCCTTTCTCTTTTGTTACACCCCACATGCACAGTCTCTCGGTCTGTCTCTCCCCCCCCCCCCCCCACGCTAACTTGGAGAATGCTTTCACAAATCGCCTTTACCTCAGTAGCTGACATCTGCATTCTTGCCTTCATTGTATGGGTAAACTGGTGCCACCCATTACCAGTAAGTTTTGATATTAGAGGGGTTCTGCACAATGTTATTACGTCAGTAAAAACCGTAGTTGACCTACGGAAAGTCTTACATACACTGCGTGCGGATCCGTGTTCTGCCATACGGAATTTTCAAACCACGTAGCTGCCCATGGCAACTCCGGACGCGAAAGTATACGACCCAGAGAGAGAAATTCATAAATTAGTCCCCCAATCCACTTACGGAGCACCTCCGTTAGTGGAGCCCCACGTACGCACTCTATGTAGAAACGTTCCGTAAGTGGAGTGCAAACTCGTGAATTTTCCTGCCCACCTATCTAAGTTGCTCAACTTTACGTAGGGTGGAACCTCTCTACTGCACCAAATTCTTTTCCTGCTAGCCAAGTTACGCTAGTATTACCACCGTGATGATGGGTTATGTCAGAATTATCTGAATAATTTGGTAAAATTGAGCAGGAGAGCGACGATGAGTGGTGTTAGGTGAGAGGGTTCCTTCTAAACGTGTATTTTAGTGAAGCAACACATCGCCAAGACACTACACTATACGCTACAGCTTATTGATTTTTTTAATAGTACAAGATCAGCTTGGTGTAGTACGATTTCAATATTGAGAATCAATTGGGGAAACTATAGAATTCACTACCTGCTTCATTTTCAGGCTCTTCAGTTGCTGGTCGCTGGAGAAGTCACACAGAATGAACGTGCCACATTATACTAGTAGGTTGCAGAATAATTGCACAGGCACAGCGTCGGGAAGCTTACTTTCGTCGGCGCCGCCAAAACTTCCGAGCGATCTGATTCCATGCTCATGATTGAGGTAATAAATTGAGCGTAAAAAAATCGCCTGCAAGGACGGATCAAATCTTCCAGCAATACTGCTTGCAGCGCAGGGGCGATGAGCTCAGTGGGGGCTACCGGTATGCAAGTCTTTGAACATTAAAACAAAACACCTCGCTGCCACGTTTGAGTGTAATCTGCAGTGTAGAGAGCGAGACTCGTCCTGGTTAGTTGCAAAAAGATCCACAACTCCTGTGTGAGTCCTGTCGCAGATATCACCAGCTAGCTGCAGCAGTGCAGGGTTCGTATCGGATTTGAACTCAACCACAAGCTGTACCTGGGTCGCTACGTCGATGATTTATGTGGGAAATCCTTTCATTTCGCAAAACCAGTACGATCTGGTTGGCTATCTCCTAGCAACAAGCATGCACGTGGTGTCGACGAGGGAGATCTAGGATGTCGACGTCACTTTGCCTTGATCTTTACTTCACATGTAATGTTGCACGACATAGTAATAAGTTAGTTGACCATTGTCAATGTCATTGACACATCTGACTGCTGAGAAGTGAAAATGCCAGAATCCGATTTTGCGTAACTGCCAGTGACAATGTCATGGAAGCCCATGCAATTATCTAGGTATCAGGATCAGGATATAGTCTGTAACAACAGTCCACGGCGATAGTAAATAATTGGGCTTGCATCCGCACCCGCATCAAGATGGCGAGGGAAGTTACAGGGGATGCCCTGCTGATAAGCAAATTCGATGCTGCCGTGGATACGATCAAGAACCTGCCCAAACAGGGTACGGGAGTAAATATTTCACGTATACAGGCTCTTTGCTGCGGAGTGGTAGTTGTTCGATTGCATACTTATATGGATTGCCTATGGGTTGTTGATTGATCATGTCCAGGCTCGTTTCAACCTTCTAATGCCATGAAATTGAAGGTGAGGCAAATGAACACTTCCATAAGACGTGAGACTATGATCAGGACTTGGGTACCCAATGATTATGATGATAATGACTACAGCTGTACACTCATGCTAGCACCTCGATTATCTGGCTGGTCCGGGACCGGGCACGACCCGTAACTTTGATATCCATAACACACACACACACACACACACACACACACACACACACACACACACACACACACACACACACACACACACAAGTCACACATACACAAGTCACACATACACATACTCACACCACACACACACACTACTACTACTACTACTACTACTACTACTACTACTACTACTACTACTACTACTACTACTACTACTACTACTACTACTACTACTACTACTACTACTACTACTACTACTACTACTACTACATGTACTACTATTGACAGCTGCCAGAATTGGCCACGCCGCTCCCAGATGGGAGGTACTGTCAGAGAGGTTAGGGGGGAGGAAGGCAATGCTCCAAGTGGCGATCCAGATCTTGCCGCCTCTGGAACCGTCGGTTGTGGCAAACTTGGCAGTGAAACTTGAATTGCTGGCGTTCAGCCATAGTAGGGCGCTTTGGACAGGTTCCACAACAGTGATGCTTGAGACCCGCAGCCGATTTAAACGAACGCTGACAGGTTGTGCAAGTTACACCCGGAACAACAAGAGGAGCAGGGGCCAGCGGCTGGTCGTCATCGCCTAGCCGACACTTATGCACCGCAAAGCCTCCTCTGCTACGTAGCCATCGGTTGCATGTTGGATACTGTACTGACCCAGGCTGCTCCGATACCGGGAGCTGGCGGATTGCTGAACACTTGTGCCGGGCCATGTCGGAACTACGGCGGAACAGACGGTTGCAGGTTGGGCACTCAATGCTCTTCGGGGCAGGTTCCTTGTCCTCACCTGCTGCTGTCACCACTCCACGCCACTCTCCACGATCGCTTGCCAACTCAAACCAGTTACACACACACACACACACACACACACACACACACACACACACACACACACACACACACACACACACACACACACACATACACACACGTATGTACAAGAAACAAGACTGAAGATGTACTGGAGATGTAGCCATAGAAACAATAATTCAAGGTGCCGTTTTGTTGCTGGTCTGTGAACGTGGCTGGCCATAGAGCGCATGCAGTGGTTCCTGATGGTTGTGGTGGGAGTGCACTGTCTTATAGAATCAAGGCACCGTTACTAGTAGCTGCTGCTTACGGGCCATCCGTAAATATAGATATTTGTTTAGAAACGAAAACTAGTCGTTTAGGGGGGAGGGGTTTGAGCGCCTGTTCGTTTCTCGAAAAATATCGATGTACATTTTGCATGCGTGAGCATGACCAGAAAAAGACCAAAAATATCGATGCTATGTACCATTTGTATGTGTTCGTTTCTCAGGGAGGGGGGAGGGGGGTTGAAGAGAAATGACTAGTTTTCGTTTCTAAATAAATATCGGTATTTACGGAAGGCCCCTTACCTGTTTCATACCATAGTTAGCATTGTGTATACACTACTTTCCATGGCACTTCACACAGCAACGAAACAGCATAAATTTGATTCTGTTTTGATATCATTTGAGCCAAACTAACTCTGCATGCAAGCAGGCATACTGGAGTGGTCTACACTGCTTATACCGTAATCTCGCGCATGTACGGCCATGGCCTTATAAGCGAAAAGTCGCTGTTTTCGGTCCTTTCACAAGTGCATTTTCGTTCGATTGTAAGACCATGATCTTATAATGTGAGAGACAAACATCGCATCGACATGTACGTGTGCAAGTACGCTATTAGTGTTTCTTTGCACTACAGTAGTTTGTATAAGAGTGGTGTTACTGTGTGGGCGGTGTAAACACGCATGCTGTGGTGTTACTGTGTGGGTGATGTAAACACGCATGCTGCCATCAAACATGCATGCCACCGTAGTACAGTGAACCCTCGTTAAGGTTGATGAGGCAAGCTTTCGCTTTAGAAGGACTAGGATTCGAAACCACGCCGTGGTATGAAGAAGAAAAAAGCCAGTAGTCGTATATCATGTAGTTCACTAGAGTATTCTGTCGAGATTTCCCATCATTACTGCATCTCCTTACAGGCAACCGTACGATGCGAGAAGCCTTTTCCCGCTGGGTCGCTACATGTCGTTAGCGCTCTTCAAGCTTGTTTGGCTCTACAGTAAAACCTGTAACTAAAGACCACCGTGACTAGCGACCAGCCTGGTACTATAGACCACTTCGCCAGGCACGGACCATCTCACATTCATATCATGGTTGTGCGGTGCAAACCTCTAACTAAGGACCACCTGCCACTAAAGACCGCTTTCTCTGGCCCCAAGGGGTGGTCGTTAGTCACAGGTTTTACTCTATCTTGTTCTGGTGCTGTTGTTTGCACTGGCTGATATTGTTGCAACCTGTGCTGCTACTTGTGTAGTTCTATTCTCTGTACAAGCAAGCAACCTCCGGCCCTGTCTCGTCTGCTCGTCCCGGCATGTTCGATCCCATCGGCCGTGCAAAATGGTACGCACGTTTAGCTTGCTGTCTCGTGTGTGCATGTGTGTGCGTGGTGTGTGTGGTGGTGGTGGTGGTGGTGGTGGTGGTGGTGGTGGTGGTGGTGGCGTGTGTACATGTACATGCGTGGTGGTGGTTGTTGTTGTGTGTGTGTGTGTGCATGTGCGTGCGTGCATTTACGTATTATATGTTTGCGACCATGAACAGCAATGTGTCTACATGTATGTGTTCGTACACGCGTGGGTATATTCACATGCTAACGTCGATGTCCTCTATCCTAGACTTCCTACTTCTACTGCTATACCCCATTTCTGATTGTTGATTGTCTGCTGCTGTTCTGCTCTGACCTGAAATAGGGATGCCTGGAAGGGATTAGGTGAAATGACTGCAGAGCAAGCAATGCAAGCATATGTTGATGAGATAGTTTCGGTGAGAATAATGGACATCTTTCTGCTTGGAGTTTGCATCTGTGCCTGTTGGCATTGTGCAATGTCATCTTTTTTGGCCGAGTCGATAACTTTATTCACTTCGCTGGAATCAGAAAGTGGAAAGGGAGCTTGAGAAAGGAGAGGCGAGCAGACAGACAAACAAACACACAGATGGGCGGACGGACGGAGCTGTTGGAGATATTGAATATAGTTCAATTATCTATGCAGCGTGCGTACGCATTGGCCGTGTGCTCCAGTTGCAACCTGGCTGCCTCAGATAATTTTATGCTTCAACATCTCTCTGCATACATTTGTAGTGCAGTGTCTTTTGTTTGTCCTTGTCATGGTCGCTGCCGGAATGGGTCAATTGGGTGAGTATTAAAAGGGTGTTAAGTTCGATTTGCTCTCCTTTTGTTTTCACTGCTGCCTTCTTCTTCTTCTACTACATTGACCAGGCCGCTGAGAATATGTCTGACTCGCCAGAAAAGGAGAAGTTCATGTCAATCATGCATGCGAAACCCAAGCAGCAGGAACCCGAGGTTGTAATACCTGACCAGGAGTCCGCCGACGACACTGTATCCACTAGTGCCAGTGCAACACCCAGTGCATCTGTGGATTCACAGCTCGATGCCGCGGCAGACGCGGCTCGAGAAGCACCACCATCGCCCGCGGTACGTATTGTGTCTTGTGTAGCGCGTGTGTATTGCTGTACTGCAGCTTGTAGTGGTTATGTGTTACTTGTTGGTCGGTGGCTATCTCAGTTGTGCTTGTTCTGTTCCCAGCTTTTAATTTTTTTTCCTTGGACGCTCTTTATTCATATCACTGCAGGGTGTTGGCGGTCCGCTATCTAATCCTGCAACCATTGCTGCTACATCGCATGGCAGCAACTCTCAACAGCTGAGATCAGGTTTGTCTGGCAATGATGCTCATCCTCAGAAACCATATCTTTGGGATATTATGGGGATATTACAGTCCATTGCAAACACGTTTACCACGGTTTCAACTTGTCCTCTAAGTTATGACTCCATATCAATACGATTACGAGCAAGAAGTAAAAGTTGTTTGACGTACATGTACCTGCGTGCGTGCGTTGTCACAGTTTCCGTGCTTTCGCACGGAATATTTCTTTGAGTTCACAGCGAGTTTTTCCAGGCATCACATACGATAAGACAGGAACTCCCCGGGTGATCGCCAGGATTGTCAATGTTTTTGAAATGGACTGTAGTCACAACCTTTATCTGCTTTAGGAGCTGCATCTGCGCCATGATCCTTGGGGGTGGTGCCGTTGCTACGGATGCGGAAACCTCGGTCTTAAGCTGAGTGTTGTTGATTTTTATTCATTTTACTTCGCAAGGCCAAACTGGCAATGGTGCCCAATTCTATGGATGCTAATTTCAAAGCGGGAGAGAGCAAGCGAGGGAGGGGAGGGGGGAGAGATACAGATACAGGTACAGAGAGGGAAGCAGTGAGGTTAGGGGCATCGGGGAGATGGATTAGTGGTGCGTGGTGGGCGCATCAACGTGTGGTTGGGAGTGTCACAGACCGTGATTATTTTTTAATCCAGGGATTGATCCAAAGAAGGTCGATTAGAATACTGTGTATTCTGGACGAACCGTGCCAGGTGACTATTTGTGTGAGGTATGAATTATCCATGTTCACTGTCTTTCCTTTGCTCCTCTGTGTCAGGACAAACGACTCCATCGCCGATTGCTTCTGACATGGACAATGATGACAACGACGACGACGATGACGATGATGATGATGAGTTCTGTGACACTATGGAATCGTTCAATACTGATGTAAGTCTCCCCTGTTTGCTGCATCCTCTCTCTCTATCACTCTCTCTATCTATCTCTCTCTCTCTCTATCTATCTATCTCTCTCTCTCTCTATCTCCCTCTCTCTCCCTCCCTCCCTCCCTCCCTCTGTGTGTGTGTGTGTCTGGCTGTCTGTGTCTGTCCTGTCTGTCTGTCTCTCTATTTCTCTCTCTCTCTCTCTCTCTCTCTCTCTCTCTCTCTCTCTCTCTCTCTCTCTCTCTCTCTCTCTCTCTCTCTCTCTCTCTCTCTCTCTCTCTCTCTCTCTCTCTCTCTCTCTGTATATTGCCCTTATCTCTGAAGCAATAGATCCCTTCTTGACGCTTTGTCTGGAGAATGCACGATAGACTTGACCTGGTTCATGATGCTTTCGTTTCATGTTCCTTGCTCTATTTCTATTGCACAGGATCTGGCTGGAGGGTTACCACAAACACTAGGAAACGCAGAACCATCCAGTAACGTTGTTGATGGCGTCACTGAAAGTTCACCGTACGCTGAGCATGCATTGCGTGCTGCTGATTCGACTGGTGCCACCACAACATGTCGCTCTACTGACAGTGGTCTGGGCCAGGCATCCTCTCCTATGTACGCTCCGTCACCAACACCACAGACAGCAGCCGGTGGCAGCGGTGGTGCTGGTGGCTGTAACTTTGCAGGCACAGTCCCTAGCTCGTATTCCAATGCCCCTGCAACCGTGGGCTACATCAGCTCTCAGCAATCGACCATGCCCGATGGCCAGGCTCTGTATGCGCCCAGTGCATCTGCGTCGGCAGCCCAGGTGAAGGCTAGCAGCATGTCTGGACCGGAGTATCACTCGTCGTCCTTGGAGCACAGTGTGCAAACCCTGTGCAATGATGTCTCTTCCATCAATGCGCGGCTGGGTGATATTGAAGCCGGTATGCAGGGTCTAAAACAGGTGAGGAGCTTTTCTCATCCCTTTTGCGTCCGCTGCATAGAACCGACTCTGACTGGACACGCCTTTCTCTGTCCTTGGTTTCTCTGAAGCAAATTTGGTGATCTTGGTTTTTTTGAACGCTTGTGGCAAAAGTTGAGAACGATATCATGCGCACAATCTAACATCTTGGGAATTTGCGTACGTTCAGGTAAACATAGTTGTATAGTGTTTGTCTGTGACCTCTGTATATTTGTTGCACACTTTGCTCTTGATGTCCAGGGTCGGCCGGACGTGACCACAGTTCGTGAGGTATGGATCACTCTTCAACATGCATTCTTCTATAATGTCTTGTGTGAAACTGGGCATCATCGTATGCGATGCCGTTCTTGATTTGGCGAGCAAGGGTGTCTGCTCGACTCCAGGCAGTATAAGGGATCAGGGTATAGTTTGAATTTAAATACAATCATGTACATGGTCACTGTATGTGTAGCTCTGTCCTGTTGCGTTGAGCATGCTTGCAAGTAGGGGTGAAACGATTAGATCGAATATTCGAGTATTCGTTCGAAAATTTCAAACGAGCGACTATTCGAAATTCTGCACTCGATCGTTTTTTTTTTTTTTTTTTTTTTTTTTTTTTTTTTTTAGTATTGGCATTCAATTTTTCCAAAACGTTGGTTGTACCGCTCGTCCACTGGTATGCATGCGTTATGCATGCCTTTGAGTCAGTATTTATGACTTCGACGATGCGATCACCACGGCAAGTAACGTTAGTTAACGTTCTGAGATATGAAAGTACTGATGAAAATCGTTACTTTACACTCTGTACAAGACGTTGGCGACTTTTGTTCTATGTTCACAGATAATTTCTTCCGAATTGGTGGAGAACTCACAAATCTAGCGCTTTGGAATTTTGATAAAATACTCGAAATAATCGGATACTCGATCGAATATTATGAATGAGTGATCGATTGGTCGAAATAGATACTCGTTTCACCCCTACTTGCAAGGCATTGGTACCTTAGGCTTATACCGAGAAACTAAGTTTCTTGGAACTACTTGTGTAAGCTCTACCCTCGTGCACTTCATACTTTGTTTTCTACTTTCGGGCTACGTACTCGTGACTAGAATTTGACTTGTGGTGTCCTGGCTAAAGATGGCGTGTTAGCTGTAACATTGTTCCTTCTGTGCATGTGATTGCGTGTATGTTTGTTTCTTCAGCCACGTTCATCGTGGTGGCCGTTCCAAGGCTGGAGCTCGAGCTCGGTTGCGTCACTTCTCTTGTGGCCGTTCCTGGCTAATTACATCATGCGTGTGTTCCTCGGAAGAGGGCAGCGCAGACCGAATTGAGCTTGTGCTGCGCAAGGTCACATTATAATTTATGATCCCTGACTGGCATTCACATTGACTGGCACAGTGGCAGCACACCGCGTACCGTGTGTTCCGACGCGTATAGTCATGACCATGCCGCTGCGCTGTGTTTGCTTCCTACGCCCCAGCCTCGTCTGTTTTCACTGATTGGCAGTCGCATTCTACCGGTACATGCACCGGGTATGCAGTAACACGGAGAAAATGTGCCTGACCAATGGCCTTCTCTTTCTGCACTAGCTGCATACCACTACTAGCCAGGCATTTACTAGTCTCCCAGATTTCGGTTTTTATACTGTTTATGCAGTATGACCCGGCAAAGCCTCGCTCTTTTCATGGTCTTCTATTTCCGCTCGTGGACTCTGCTTCACATGTCCGCCTGAAATCTCTTGTTCAAGATGCCAACTGCAGAGCCTCTTGCTCTTACTTAGGACTTGTTATTCGGAGTAGTCGTCTAATTTCTCGCTTGATATCGTTTTGTATCATAGCATTGCTTAAACTTCTAGTTGCTAGTAGTATCGCTGCATTTCTATTATTTTCGTATACCGTATTATCTCTAATATAAGCACGGTCCTTTATTTTTTCAATGTACCTCCGCCCCGTGCTATTAATGGAGATGTTCCTTTATTGGAGACTGTTCCGTTATTATTTGAACCTCATTTCAGAGGCATGTTGCCATGCCAAATTCATGTCAGACACACACATTTCAGGTTTTTTTTGCCGGTACTGCATTTTAGAGATAATACGATACATGCATTTTACCAGGTACCGATAGACAGTGTGCTTATAATGGAGACTGAGCACTTTATTTTTTGAATGCCGCCCCAAGGTGTTCTATTATTGGAGACGTGCTATTATTGGAGACTGTGCTTATATTAGAGATAATACGGTATACTAGTACTGGATCCTATTCATTGCTGTGCTATGTTATTTATTATCTGCCGACACCCAGTATCCTCACGAGTGTGGAATGTGCTGTGGTCTACCATATATGCTGCTGTGAAATTATATCTATTGTCTTTGTGAGCGTATCACGCCTTTTTTTCAATGGCAATCACACACCAGCTTGCCCTTATGCGCAGTTTGCGTTGAGGTTTGCCTTTGCTGCATGTGCGATGTGCATGCCTGTGGTGGCCGCAATTGTGAAATCTCCGTCCTGATACGACTATTCAGTATGAGCACGGACCTGCCTGTATCAGCACCAAGAGTACAATAGGGCTTGAAAGTGCTACGTCACAGCATAGCAACAATTTCAAAAATTCAAAAATTGGATCCACTTGGATCCAGTTTTTGTATGGATCCAAGCACATTTCAAGCCGTCTTACCAAGAGTACATAAACCATGTTTATGTACTCTTGGTCTTACTCACAGCAAGGTGATAATTATAACTAGTGAAACTGACTGATTTGGCTACTGGGGGCGGGGTTACAACTGGTGGCGAAGTAAAAGTCACCCCTGCATACGACATGAGTGGGTTGCTATGCAACCACATACTGAGGCAATAGGGCTTGAAAGTGCTACGTCACAGCATAGCAACAATTTCAAAAATTCAAAAACTGGATCCAGTTTTTGTATGGATCCAAGCACATTTCAAGCGGTCTTACCCACAGCATGGTCATGTAGCCAGTGAAACTGACTGATTTGGTTACTGGGGGTGGGGTTACAACTGGTGGCGAAATAAAAGTCACACCTGCATGCGACATGAGTGGGTTGCTATGCACCCACATACTTATTAGGCAATAGCAAAGTCACACCTTAGTGGATCCAAAATAGAAATCTGATGTCAACTTAGTACTCCCTGGCCGTTTTTGACGTCATCACTTTCAAGCCCTATCAAGTATCATGACCACTCATATCCTCACTGAACTACATGCCATGATTGTAAAACAGTGATGTATGCAAAACCAAGTGCGCATGGATCAAAGCAAGGCATGAAGATCACCTTGTCGTTGTAAGCAAGTGAGGGCTTGAACTGCCTAGGAAATACCCTGCTTGTGGTAAGTAAAGACTAAAATGATATAAAGTTAGTTGTGAGGCTGAGGCTCACTGACTGCTGTCGTTTACATGTTTATGTACCTGGTGAGCTCACACTGCTGCCTTCAACACAAGCAAGGCATGAGTGTGCCAAACGGCAGTGTACTGTCGTAAACTACCCGGCAGCCACAGACAGTGTTACCGGTATTTAGAAAAAAGATCCTGTCAGCTTTTCTTTTTCTTATTCATGTGGTTATTTATCCTGTACTGTCTGATACTCACATACACACGCACACACGCACGCACACACCAGTGGCAATAGTGACCAGATGGCATACCGGTAACAAGATGTAATCTAGGATCTATGTTGTTTGTTGTAGGATGCTCTGATTATTGTATGAGATAGGCTATGCAACACAATGAGGGGGCGGGGGGGGGGGGGGCGGGACCAGTGTAACTGTGTCTAACCATGCAGTGCAGTCCTCTTGACTTGAGTCTGCATCGCAACACTGCGACTGTGTAGAGTGTAGATCTACTGTGCATTTCAGTTTCACTCATGATAATAATTATTATTATGATGGCAGGTTGAATGCTCTGTCACCAGTCACCAATGCAATGTCTGTTGACCGCTGGTTGACCTCAGAGGAAATGTATTTCCAGGGAGTAGTAAAATAATATTATTACTCCCTGCTTCTTACGCCTGGACAAGCAACCAGGTACACGTAACCATGGTACTCATGGCAATGGTAGACTAACGCCGAAGGCTAGTACAGTGGTCCCTCTATAATCCGGCACCATTTGTGCCACGAAAATCTGCTGGATTAGGGAGGGTGCTGGATTAACAAATCTGATTTACTGCTGCAATGTGCATGAAGAGGACATTTTGGCTACTGGAAATTGTGCTGGTTTATCGAGGGTGCTGGATTATAAAGTGCCGGATTAGAGAGGGACGACTGTAGTAGTATCAAGACAAGAGTTACTGAGAATCAGGCTATATACTCTTGGTACATGGTACTTGCTAGTATCAAGAGGAAGATTCTTCGTTTACTCTCTCTCTCTCTAGTTTCCAAGTATCATGGGACATGATTATCTCAAGAACTCTACTCAAAAGGCAATGGATCATGATGCTTATCAGAGCTGGGAGGCAGCTCAGGGCCCTGGCTATTGCACTGTATGCAGTGGGGAAAGACTAGGGACACGATACCATGAATACCTGAATAGCAATACAATCATGTCTCGTGTGTCTGCTAGCATGCTGGTGGAAAGGTGTAGAGGTTCTGCAGCTTCAAGTTTGCATGGACTGGCATCGCAAGCATAGGGTCACCTGGTCCCCACTTCATGCAAAGCATAATAGTATTAGTTTGCGATGATGTCGTTCGCAATGTTTACGTCAGCACTACCGGAACAAGTCAACAGGCCGAGTAGCGCTTTATAATCCTCCCTTCCATCTCCCTCCCCGTATGCAGCACTGCCAGCAGCAGCATTCTGTTGTTTACCTTCCCCATGCATGACCTTCCTGGTTCGATCCCTGGTCTGCGGAGCAGTGCCAGGACCTAGGCTAGGAGTGGCTGAACGGCTAACCGAGCAGATTGACACATTCCTTCTGTAATCATCTAGACACCTGCTGTCTGCATGCGACAGTGAATCCATAATTATACATAATACATGTACATGTACAGTATAATTATAAGGCAAGGTATGTGATAATGTCTTATGTCAGTCATGACCCATGTGCTACTGTATTCCCAAGCTCACAACCACGCATACAGGCCCAGGGTCTTCAGCAGTACAGCGTTCGTCTGAGAGACGTGGAGAGACTCTTTTCTCCATAATCATGATGATTGTAGATCTACACGTTGCATCAGCAAGCACTAGGCAGCAGGGACATCGGTTGAATGGGCGAAAAAGACGCATCCCGCCATGTCCATGGTGGTTGCAATGCCAATTATGCATAGCCTCAAGAGTGACATAATTATGTTGCATGTATCCTGGTGCGCCGATGTCAGTGATGCTCATCATGGTGATTGGAAGGCTGAGTGTGGTTAGGAGGACCTTGCTTCCTTTTGTCGGCTGTCGGAAGAGCTCCTTACCGTCAAGAACAATGTGCAGACCCACATACCTGATGCCAGCCCGGCCGAATCACCATCAACCAGGGATTGGTAGTACAGTACATGTACATACAAGTGTACTGTAGCCTGTAGACTGTAGTAGCAGCATGGCATGGCTTATCCACAACTGACCCATAGCAGGGAGTGTATCATGATGTCTGCGTTCTGCATGGCTGATATTAGTGATAATAGCGAGTGTTACTGGCACTCGTTGCACTACGGCGAGTCGATCGCCCATCGATCAACTGTATTATTCAAGCAATGTCGGCTTCGTACACGACTATACCGTCACCGCGAAGTTGAAGCTCGCCGCTAGTCAGTCAGTCAAAGGCCTTCGCTCCTTAGCTACAGCGTCCTGACACCAGTGTTAGTTTCGGCGATAAAACGCACGGTGGTCTTCGCCCCCCTCTCGGCCACCGTCGCTACTGTAGGTAGGTGCTGACAAGCAGGTGGCGTTGACAGCTCAGCCCTGCATTGGCAGCAGTCTACACTAGACTACACGGCCTGTTCAGGCACTTCCTCTGCATTTCATTGCCTCGTTGCAGTTCCGATATCGGAATCTCGCAAGCTTGCGGCCATGCGGCCATGCAGTCGAGCTGTATTGCCCTATTAGCGTCTCCTTGTTTGGTAAGAATACTGTCTTGCGATCAGTTTGGTATAGCGTTTGCCTGTTGTAACAGGCAACACATATCCAGAGTGGATCCAATCATCCTCTCCCGTGAGCACTCGTACTCAGGCTAGGCTAATCTGTAATCAGCAGTCTCCAGAGACAGATCTACTACTACTACTAAGTACTAGCACACAGACACTGAGACAGTCATGGCATAATCATTGAACAAGTCGACATTACTGGCGCCTGCATGATGTCAGTACTACGTTGTACAAGCTACTATTAGTATTATGACTATGTTACTACCTTGATCCTTGAATGGCTTGATCCAGTCCATGTACTGAATAAATTTTAAATGAATATGCAAGGCCTATGATTGTGTTATTCAAGAGATTTTTCGATAATGATTTGCAGAACACAGAGCATATCTACAGTACTGCGACCAGCTCGAAAACCAGCCTGCTCATCTGGTAACTCAGCCTAAGGCTCTATCTTCTTTTTCATATGATTCAAGATTATTGTCAGAAGGATCTTGCTTGCATGTGACATCAAAGCAATGGTCCGATAGTTGGAACACTCCTTAGCTGATCCAGCTTTGGGTAGCATGACGATTTCTTGACGTTTCCATGCTTTTGGCCATCTCCCTGTTTTCCAAATCTCCAAACAAAGTCTTGAATGGCAGAATCCTGTATCCATTGTTTTTATCGATTATCGTAAAGCCTTTGACACAGTTAACCACTCACATCTTTTCGGTTGCCTTTTGGATTTTGGTTTCCCTCGCCACATAGTTTGTTTGCTTCAGAATCTTTACACAGGGATGAGCGGAGTTATCAGATGGAATGGCTCGCATTCGCCGGGGTTCGCCATCAAGAAGGGTGTTCGGCAGGGCTGTATTTTGTCCCCACATCTATTTAGCCTGTACACTGAGAGTGTTATGCGTGTTGCTGATGTGGACAGTATCGGTGTGAGAATCGGAGGACGCCGGCTGTCGAACCTACGATATGCAGATGACACGGGATTGTGTGCACATCCATCAGAAGTGTCTACCCTCACCAATGCTGTTAATGACGCTGGAAGAGAGAAGGGCCTGTCACTGAATCTGTCCAAAACCAAGATCATGCATATCGGAACCTGTACTGCTGGTGCAAACGATACTGCTCCAACCCCCCTTGTGGTCGACGGAGAACGAATTGCAGAGGTGAGCAGTTTCAAGTATCTGGGATCCTGGAAGACAACAAACGGTGATTGCAGCCTCGATATGCGGTCAAGAATTGCCATGGCGAAAGAGCGTATGCTGCAGTTAATTGACATCTGGAAAGACCACAACATCTCCAGACAGCTGAAAATCCGGATAATGCATGCCTTAG